TGCAGCCTCGTTCTCCTGCGGCCGCGTTCGGACATTTCTTTAGAAATCCCTCCAAACACGGAGGGTTTTGGATCATTTTTGTACAGAAATATCAGCCCAAATATTTATTGGGTCTCAAATTATGACGACTGTCGAGTTGGGTTGACGTAAAAGCTGCGCGAATTCTGATCTGGCTGTTGAGACGAATTACATTAAGATATGCAGAATATATTTACAGCACAAACCTTGTCAGTGAACTATGAGGGCAAAAAAGCAAACAACAAAACAACAACAAAATAATCATTCATTAATTGTAATCAAGGTAAAATATTAAATTAATCATGATATTGATTGAGGTCATACCGCCCAGCACTAAACATGGCTACCCTAAGGTGTTGCTTATGACGTTTAAAGCCCTCAGAGACCTGCAGTCGGGTTATAATGTGATGAGGATTGCACCTTCTAGCCATTTGCTGATTTAACAGAGTACTGTATGAGCCGAAGGGCTTATTTATTTAGGAATGGTGACAGACAAACGAGATCTTTTCTCGAAAGACAAAGATTTATGTGAACCTCTTTCTCATGATGGTCAATCACATGGAAATATCTGTGTGTATCTGCACACCATCTGACCACGTTTTTGGCTCACGTAGGAGAAAAGTACTGCAAATATCGGCTGAGTAGCCTCTCACAACTCTAACCTGAAGGAGCCTCTTATAATCCTGTGTCTGCTTATATGGGAGCTGCACTCATCGCATTCAGAAAAGCACCTTCGGTCAACTGTTCTCTAATCCGCATCAACACAGAGGCTGAAAACAGGTTGTTCACGTTTTTAAAAAAAACATGCTCGTGTTTCTGCTCAGTGTCTTGCTGGCTAACTTGGTTTGGTATCATCTGGTGGTTCTTGCTGTAAGTTTAATAAATCACTCCTAAACAAAAACCTGTTGTAATAATAAAACCCCGACAGCGTGCTGTGTGTTAAGTTACCCTGTAGGCTACAGTTATCAGGGCGTACAGATGGGCGTATAAGGGGAATTCTGCCAAGTTTTCAAACGTTCTGCATATATTCAGTGTAGGCGAGGGCAGTATGGGAAAAATATTGTATTGTGTAAAATTGACCATGTTATGCGTCGTTACATTATATAATTTGAAAGACAAAATGTGCTATTAAATCCAGTTAAACAGGACAGATTTTCAGTTTTTTAATGAAACATGCAGTCGATCAGTGCTCTTTAAATACTGATGATATCCATTAAATGCACAGAAATACATATAGTGCATCAAAATAACAGTGGTGATTAAGTGTCATCAGTAACCCAGTGGTTCAGGTGTAAACAAAGTTATTCAGAGTGGTTGAATTGAAGTAATTCATCCTTGAGAAACTTGATGTGAAGTAATTTATTATTAAGAATGTATGAATATTAGAATACAAAATGGGGGAAAAAACAGGTGGAGCAATGCTTAATTAGATAGATTGAGTTTATGCAGCAGCAGCATCAGGAGGGTCAGTTCAATAGCTGATTTAACCTTGTTTTCTGATCTGTTTTCCTTGGTTTGCTCTGATCTGTGATCTCTTAGTCATGTAGATCCACATGTTCGTCACCACTGAAAGCTTATTCAGTGAAACCGTAAGTTACAGGTCAGCCAAAATCAAGGAAAGCTGACAGATAAAAAATGTGAATATTTTAACCATTCTGAACCAGCCTGGACTGACGAACCCTTCCACGATGGTGGATCATTCATAGAACTCTGCATTATGACATCTCGTTTCCTAACCCCATTTACCAGCTCTGTCTCTCAGTTCTTTTCCCAAATCAGAGATCATTGCCTTGTACACATCACCACCGGGTTACTCGTCCATCATTGAGGATATCCAATCCCATCGCTCCATCTTCCAGGCCTGGATGTGCTACCTTCACATCAAGCCTGTTCAGTAGCACCAAAGAAACCACAAGAAATGTAAATGATTAAAAATCTTTATTTAAATCTCGAAGCACTTTGCTCTAGGCACATGTTTGCCTGTCATTTCTAATATTCTTTGGCACACAATTCCGGAGTTGAATAGCGAGTCTAGGGCTCGTCAGTAAGCCTGCCTCAGCCGAGTGAAGTGGCCTTGATGGGATAAAATGCTTCAAGAGCGGTAGGATGCGCTGGACGCCTGAGCTGACTGACGACATTATTGCAAATTGATTCCATCCATTGTGGTGACCAACAGGCTGGACAATTAAATGTAAGACGCTGATGCTGTAGCCTTCTATACTCAGAATATCTTCCTTTGCAAAACATGAATGGGGCCTTAGTGATTTTGAAGCTGAGGGTACACTAAAGTTAAACACTGTAAGACAATTTAAACGGTCAAATTTTAAATAGTCACTCAGAACGGTCTGATGTGAAATGCTTCATTTTACAAAATATGTGGTACTGGTGGTGACAGGAACAAGACATCTGAGGCCTCTCAAAGCTCCTGTACATAAAGTATTTACATAAAATGGTTCTGAATACGTGTTGCCATTGGCGACGCTCACGGGGGCTCGGACCTAGATTTTCCTGTTAAGCTGCTTTGTGACAACACCTGTTGTAAAAAGCGCTACATAAATAAACTTTGAGAACTTTGAATGCAGAGATTGTGTGAATTCTGTTTGGTTAAATGTTCCACTGATTGAATGAATAACACTAAATCTGCCAGTAGCTCAGTGAAATACAGCATTAACAGAGGTAAATGTGTCGGTGGCTGAGGGGAAATAACCGTTTGTAAACTGTACGTGGGCTTTGAGTGACTAAAATCTTAGGACCTACTTAAAGGAACAGGCAGGCAAGCCTCAGACAAGCGAGGAAGAGTCTGTGAATGAGAGAGGAGGAAACATTAGCATGTTCAGATCATTACTTCTCTGGGAGTTTGTGTGGATCCACATAATCACTAAGGCTAATTTTATCATTATTAGGTTGTTTGCCCTTCTTCTGGAGTTAAGATACACTGCCATTTCATTTGATTCAGTATGAAGCGTGACAAGCCTGAAAATCACAATAAAACGGCCAATTTTTCAAGCTCTTGCAGTCTAAGTGAATATTTGCACCGTGTAAACAAAGAACGAACCCTATCAATTTGGTGGAACGATCCCATAATGCAGGCATTCCCAAGCCCTGTTATAAGAAAGATGAAGGTAAATTAGTTATCAAAAGATGTTGAGTTACTGAGTATTAAATTATTTAATGTGATTTTTATAGAAGATTTATATTAATACAGAATAGAAAGTAGGTCAAAGCTGCGGTGAGCAGTGTGTATTTGTGTTGGGGGGTGGGGGGGCGTTATAATCGATAATCACGCCTTTTTAAATGAGAAAATGTTGTGCTAACTATTTTTAGATATCGCCCAGGCCTAATCTAATCTCTGTCTCATTTAAGTGTCCTTGGCTTCCTGAGTGCACGTGTCAGTCATGACCTCTTACGGCATGAATTGTGTTGAACCTTTGATGGGATCTTTTGGCCAAAGTGAGCACTGATAACAGCTGTGTTTTGCTTGCAGGCCAGGAACTGTAAGGCTTGTTGATCTACTGAACTGGGCAGTGCGCTGGCCGCGGGCCTGAAGAGCTCAGCTCCCACGCCCAGTAGAATCCAGCCTCCCTTTTGGCATGGGCTTTCCTTCAGGCTGCTCCTCTAACTTGTTTTTAGTTTTGTGCTGTTATTTTGTCCAGTAAACTTTTATAGCTTACTTTATTTATTTTATAGCTTTTATAATTACAACAGTGGAGCCACCAGCATCTGGCACTGATCATGAACTCTACCTCTTACTTTGACAGAGAACGTATGAGATGGTTCTAACTTTGCTACACTTCCTCCTGTGATTCAAATCTCGTCGGCTCTGCCATTCTCTCTTCATCCGGGGTCACCCAGAGGAGGCTGGGTTCCTCGCTTGAGGCTGGGTTCCTCTCCAGGTTTCTTCCTCTTACTCATAGGGAGTTTTTCCTCACCACTGTCGCCTCTGGCTCGCTCAGGGGTGGGGCTTGGATCCGAATTTAGCTCCTTACGTGGACTCCTTTTTATTTTTATTTTATTTTCTTTTTATTCTTTTGATGACCTTTCCATAAACTGTTTTCCTTCTATAAACTGCTTTTCTGTAAAGCTGCCTTGAGACAACACTAGTTGTAAAAAGCGCTATATAAATAAGTTGTTGTTGTTGTTGTTGTTGTTGTTGTTGTTCCTTTGATCTTCCTTAACATTTGTGTTACAGTTATCGAAACTGGTTTGGCCCTTACTTAACTTAAAGGGCAAAGACAAGAAATGCTACAATTGTAAATGCTTACATCACAACATTTAGGGTGTTTTCACACACGAGCCGTTTCAGCGTCTGAAGTGGACTCAGACCTCTGAGTCATGGTTTCCTGGGCATATGTTAACACGAAAAATGGACTCGACCCTCTAACGGCTCTATCGAGAGGTGGTCTCAGTCCGGTTCGTTTTGTGGCTCGTTTGCAGCTTACAATTGCGTTGCGTGCCCAGCATGAGCCTTTAACCCTGCTTTCACACTGAACTCTGAATGAATTAATGTTCACCGCTATTCTTTCTTCATAATTTCGCTGCGGACACGGACTTTTTCCGGGTGGGGCTCAATGAGGAGCACAGCTGAAAACGGAACCCACCGCCACAAACACGCAGGGTCATTTTTCCAATTTTGCGCGATGCACGTCGGCCAGTCGTTTCAGCGCGGCTAATAGGAGAGCAGCAGGTGGGTCTGGTGGTTCCTCTCACCACCACTGTGAACACAAAAAGCTCTGAGGTCATTTGCAGTGGGTTGGTCACTTTCAGTTCGGTTCATTTGAAAAGAACGGTATGTGAAAACACCCTGAGTTGTTTTTGTGATTAATCGGCACTGAGCTTTTACTTTGTTCTCACACACTGAGACCAGAAGCAACAGGTGATGCATTATTTATGTGATATATTATCACCAGGAGCGCTCTTTCAAACTGTGACCCAGAATGACTAGTTGACCTTCGGCTCGGGTCTGACTCTGCTTTCTCTTCTAGGTGTGAGGGAGCGAGCACGCACCATGGCGGGCGACATGCTGTTGCTGATGAGGGGTTTGGCCAAGCTGAGCCAGGCGGTGATCGAGACCCAGTCCAGCACGCTGCGAAGTGGAGTGTCTGTGGCCCAGAACATGCAGATGACTGCAGAACAGGGCATGAGCGTAGCCATGCAGAAGATACAGGTGGGTTCTGCTCCATATCATGCTCCTAAACTGTGGACATGAGGGGATTTTTAGAGGTATTATTTTATGTGTATATATATATGTTTTTATACATATTTATGTGTAACATCATGTCTCAGGGGCCATGGATTAAAATGAGCCAGTTTGCTAAAACCAGGAAATTTTCTTTTGTGATGATTAATATGCATTGTCATATACAAATGGACAGGTGATAGGGGTGAGAGTCTAATCTGACCTATCAAATCCAACGTTTGCCTACTTTCTGTCGTACTTTAAACGCATATGCTTCTTTAAATTAAAGTCACATATTAAAAAATACACAATTGAGTAATAAACTCCTGCTGGTGTGGGTTCAGTGTGCTTTAAAGCAGGGGTTCTCCACCTTTTCCACCCCAAGGCCCACCTGTGTATAACTACAAAGCATAGCGGCCCACAGAAAAACTAAAATCAACAAATACAACTTTATTTTTCTATTCTTAATTGCTGACACTGACAACTTGAGAAGTCTGGTTGTCAGCAGTCTAGCTGTCTGCATCGCAGTTGTCTCAAACTGGTGTTTGATCAGCCTGCCGCTGCAGTGTTTTTATTTGTATTTGTCTCTCTTAATATTTATATTGGTTATAATGTGAAAACGTTTCATTCTTAGATTTTTAATTAAGTTCATCTTTTTTCCACTTATGTTTTATGACTTGCAGTGATGTTACCGGCCGCTACAAATTACCACCTCCCCCTGAGTTCAGGCGCGCGGACCACTAGAGGGTGCTTCCCAGCCCGCTGGTGGTCCGCGGCCCACAGGTTGAGAAACCCTGTTTTGAAGGACGCAGAAAAAGCGACTTTCTTTTCTTTCTTTTCTATAAATCACCCTTAAAAAGTGACTTGCATTTCTGGAATTTGGCTGTAGACAAATGTGGGACACCACAAAGTTTTAAATTTAATAATTTTATAGCTCATCTGAGCCAGTGAGTCACTCATGCTCTGTGGAAAATGCAAACTGGGAAACCCCCCCCAGCATTGGAGTTAATCTTTCAGTAAATATTTAAACCTAAATCCTAACTCTGCGTATTACTGGGTTAGCCTGTTAACTGGTTAGCAATCTACTGAGCTGGTTGCTAAACAAAGCCAACCTGGTTCCCCCAACTTTCAAGCATTGTCAGTCTTGAAGTATTGTTTTAACGCAAACAGTCCTCCTGATCCATGTGGGCTGTGAGAATTTAGACCAGCAGCAGAGCGTGAGGTCTAGCTCTGTAATGGGCAGCTGTCTATGATGTAGCGAGGTTAAATTTTGGAATTTGCTGAGACGGTTATTAAATGTTTTGAAACGCCATCTCATCTTTTGTCTTTTGAGTTTTGTACACACTGACGGTGTTGGATTACAGCCCATTTGTTTCAAAGTCTATTATCCTTCCGAAGCATGATTCAGTGCAGTGTCACACAAACAAAAGGTTTAATCAAATTGCACTTGCTTATTAAAGGGTTCCTGTCTGTGTTGAAAGTGACCCCACTGTTACAGCGCTACCTGCTTATCAGAGGCCGTTTAGATCACTTGGAATTATAGTAAACCCTCATTGAAGTGACATGTCTTTTATTACTGTTTATGAATTTTTTTAGCTTCTTCTTATGTCTCTTTTAGTATTCTGTCTATTAATGTGTGGACGCTGGTAAATGTGTAGTGTAGAGAAGTGTTTGAAGGGCTTCCCAACACAACAATGTAAAAAGGTCAGCATTAAAGGATTAAATAATGGTCATTTTTTGGTCTCTAACTTTCAATTAGTTAGTCATGTTGGCATTTTGGTTGGAGTATTTTGAAAGTAACCCGTTCCTTCTGATCTGCATTTGCTGTAGGAGTTTACGGGTCAGCAGCAGAGTGTGACGGACTTCAGTGAAGAAATGGACAATAAGTATGATTTTTCCGGCAAAGAGGACAGCTTTGAGGGTACGGAGCACAGAGGCTCGGCCGACGATGCTTTCAGGGACGCTAACGTGGGCGTGGCCGGGGCGAACAGCCAGCCTACAGGCAAATCTAAGCTTTTTGAGGGCTACAAGGACCCTACTAAGCAGTTCACCGGAACTCGATACTATCACCAAGACCACTCGTCTGTGGGTGGTCTCACGGCTGAGGACATTGACAAAGCCAGAGAGGCCAAGCGGAGTGGCACCAAACCCCATAAACAAATGGTACAGAAGTCATTCCTCTCAACATGTCATCACCTACGTGCCGACAGTTATAAATATCTCCTCTCCTTTCACACGTTGTGTGTTAAATAGTTGCAGGGATTGAGCAGTTTGGTGCTGCATTCTATCCTCTTTGCTAATCACTCTTATGAGTTCTGTACAGTTCTGTGACTGGCAACAGTAGCGGAACCCTATACAGAGCCATTTTTAGAAGATTGTTCTAGCAAGAGGAGATTATATATCGCTGCTATCTGAAGAAAACCTTGTATCTCCATTTTTTTACGTTTTTAATTTTTGACATAATTTGTAAATACCTGTTTCCCTTTACATTGGGTGTAAATTTTATGATGAACGGACAAAAAGAAGCGACCCAAAACGACTTGGAAAAACCTCTGGTTCCATTGACTTACATTAAAAGTGAAGTGCGTTTTTTCCTTCTCCTGTAAAGTTGCCGTTCTGGAGATACGAGGTTTTGTTTCCGACAACAGCGATATAATGCAAGTATAACAACAACAATAATAATAATAATGATAGATGCTATGTACAATATAACACTATTGCCTTTACTAAAGAACCATTGAAGAACCCCTTGGAGAACTGGAGAGAGATTAGAGGAGTTTATGACTTGGTCTGGGCAGTAATGGCTTGTTTCTCTCTCTGTGCCCTAAACTCTACATGAACCTTCAGAGAGTGTGTTTGTTTGAGGGTAAATATTTTAAATTTGAGTGTATATGTTTGGGTTAAATGGAGAAAATGTATGGGTGTTGTTTTTCAATCTCAAGTCTTGGTGAAGAAGATAAGATGAAATCGTAGTCACTGCCTTTGCTGTACGGTACGAATGTTGTCTTCTGTTTTTAGCTAAGCGAAAGAGCGAGGGAGCGGAAGGTTCCTGTAACGCGGCTGGGAAGACTGGCAAACTTTGGAGGTAAGACGGGTTGACTTCTAACTTGTTTGCAAACAAATGGTGGTTACCACAGCGTCAGTGCTATGGCTGTGTCCTCTGTCTAGCTTCATGCCCAATAACCTCGAACAACAGTGTTGCATAACCTTCTGTCTAAACTGCCATTAGCCTGCATCGCTGAGGCATCCCAGCAAGGCCAGTGTCAATATTTACTCAAAGCAGTGGTTATTTAGTGTTTTTTTTTTTTGCCAAAGTCTCCATGTCAGACCAGTTTTAATGGCACAGGTCCATCGGGGCTCTTCACCGTAAGCCTTTTAGAAGAATTATTTGCATTAAATGGTTTGTTCAGGGTAGTGATGAAAATTTTGGTCTTTACTTGGTGAGTAATCATTAACTGGCAAGTCTAAAATCAAGGACACAGCCGTCAAAATATCAGTTATAAATGAACACTTCTGAAATCTGATTGAAAAGACTAAAATAACACGCTAATGGAAGCTGACATCAAATGAATTCTGTACTAATAGATTGAGATGTGTTATTTGGAGCGTGGAACGTAGTACTGATAGATGGGCCCAGGCATATACATGCAGATAAATAAACAGCTTGAAATCATGTTATACTATATAATATTTTCATGATTTTATGACTGAAAACTAGAAATGACTGGTAAATATAATACAGCACTACTAGTAGCCCAGCATTATATATCCCAGTCATTGGTAGCTCAAGTTAAAAAGAACATAAATGTCATGACTGGGGCTTTGGCTCAGTGTCAGTAGCTGTTGAAGGCGGTCACTATCCATAATTTCACTCACGTATTTGTGAGTATTAAGAGGACTCTTAGCTGGATTTGATCTACACATTAGAGGCTTTCGCACAAACTTGTGAAGTCCATGTCAGCTTGAGTGCACAGTGTTGTTAAAGCAAAAGAGGAGATAACAAATACTAAAATTCTGAAATTCATGTACAATTTCAGAGATTCTATTCTTCACTTAAATGTTATGCTGATAACATGTGTAATAAAAAAAATTATTAAATTGGAAAGGAATAGAAAATCGAAGCATTTTCACCAGCGATCTCAGACTTTTGGACCCCACTGTAGTTGCCTGTAGTCTCTTGAAAAGTGCTGCCAAACACCACTATTTTTTTTAGAGTGCTTATCTGTGTGCATGCTAGGGCTGGGCGATTAATCGAAACGTAATCAAAACTGACATTCAGAACCTCTAACCGATATTATCTTGCCTACGTCGGTTATCTAGATATTTTGTTAATCCTTTCTCCGCTCTGTGTGTTCATGTTCTGTCCCGTTAAAACTTACTACTGCGCATGTATCACGTGACTCCACCACGTCCAGTCTGCCACATGGAAGCTAAGGCTACGTTCACACAGCAGTCTGTTCAGATTATCTTTTAAATGTGATCTGTATCATCAGTCTGAACAGATCAGCTCCTAAACTGAGCCGCATGCGCAAAAGAACAGAGCGTCACGCTGCTTCACGGCTCATCCAGAGGTAAACAATCACGACCGCCAACGAGTGCCAGTCGCTCCCGGAGGATCAGCTTCATCTTCACCAGCATCACAGGAGACATCATGAAGCTTCACTGACTGACAGCTGGGCTCATCACCCAGAATGTGTTCAGCTCGCCGTAAAAAGGGCGCGGTCACTTCTTTGGTTCGCGTCCTCGGATTCTTTAAACTCTGCTTTCAGACTTTTAACTGTTCTTTGACGCTACAGCCTCGTTCTCCTGCGGCCGCGTTCAGGCATTTCTTTAGAAGTCTCTTCAAACACGGAGGGTTTTGGATGAGTCTCTAATAAAGTTTAGAGACTTTAGTACAGAAATATCAGCCCAAATGTTTTTCAGGTCTCAGCAGCGCTAAATAATGATGACTGTTGAGTTGGATTGACGTAAAAGCCGTGTGAATTCCGATCTGGCTGTTGAGACGATTTACATTAAGATATGCAGAACATATTTACAGTACCAACCTTGTCAGTGAACTATGAGGGCAAAAAACCAAAACAAAAGGTACAGCATTCAATTAATCGTGATATTGATTTGAGGTCATAACGCCCAACACTACCTCATGCTTTTCTCCGCCTATTCAAATAGGAACTGTTGTTTATTGGAAATGAAATAACATGAACCTTTTTTAACCAATTAACATTTGTCAAATAATTCATTATCTCTGGTCAGTTGGTTAAACATTTATATATCCCTAGTTTGAGGAGTAGTTCACTAAGCCCGTGTGCTGTCCTTGCAGCGTGTGGCCAACGTACGATTCTGTGCTGCGCTCAGAACGTCTTTCCTCACGCGACCGGGCGTGAGCAGATTTAAGGCTGGAACTTAATCTGCATGTTGACCAGTAATAGTTTAGGCTGCCGTTCTGGGATTACCTGGGAGAGTTTAGCCTGTCTGGGAATGTGCATCACATACTACCTTCTGAGACCTTGGCTCAGTCCGAAACTATTCCTTATATATGTAGTTTCTTCATGTCAAATATTTTCAGTTCTCATTATGATTTCATCTGTCTCCTTCTGGTTTCGGCTGTCGCTCAAAGAGGGAGAGTGTGTGTGGACACTGGGAAAGGAAAGTGCTGTCACTTAGGAAAATCACATGGTGTGAGAATAGGGTGCAGGACGGCTTGTGGTTTTCCAGGGACGGTTCACTGCTGCAGTGGGATTAATGGAGCATAAACAATATCCTTACCTCAGACGAAACTGCATATGTGTGTGTGTGTGTCTTTGCGTGTGCTGACCGCTAGCCTGAACGCTGGGTATTTTGTTGCCGTTTCATTGGGGTTATCAGATCCGCCAGTTACCCAGCAGGGCTCGAAAGTACACCCAGCGCCACCTGTTTGCTGTGGATCCTTACATGGTCACCGTGTCCTGTATTCCTTACAGAAGGAGCTTCCTCTCCACACTCCTCGGGCATCGTGGGAGCACGTCGGTGTGCATGAGGTTTCTGATGACGCATTCACGTCTCCCCACTGAGAGGTCATCCAGTTCACAAATCCCTAAATAAAGGGCAGCTAGCATGTCATCCAGGTCATGCAGAAACCTTGCGTCCACATTTTTGTCTTTTTTAACTTTTTTGTGTGAGTTGAAACTCAAGACCAGAGGAGGGGGGGGGGTCAAATTACCTAGGAAAAACCTTTGTGTTACATTGACTTTCAAGTTTTTTTTATCGTCCTGTAAAATTACTGTTTGGAGATGCGAGGTTTTGTTCCAACTGTGACGATATTCTAGTTAGTTCAGAAAAATTTTAAGTAAACAAATTAGCAGTTAAGCCTTTATTTATTGCTATTGAAGTGAGTTCATAGTGGACACGGAGAGCTAGCTGGTACTATTTACCATGGAAACGATGCCCCTCGACTGTGCCGAACCCTAACTGCTGTATGTTAGATAAGCCTAATTAGCAACACGAGTCGGAGAAAAGAATACGTTTCAGGGATGAATGCTCACTGAAAGATAATTCCGATGATGGACACGTTTGTCCCGGTTTGAAAGTGTGGGAACGCGAGTGGTGAGAACTTGGCTAACAGTGCTTGTACAAAAATTGAGCTTGGCATCTCACTGGCCGATGCAGCTGGTCTTGATTGAAAGATCGTGTAGTTTTTGGCAAGTCACCGTTGTATGAAGGTCACCACCTCGTCTTTGGTGTGGCCGATGACGTGAATGCCTAAGCGGCTGCCCTTTTGCAGTGGCATGTTGCTGCTGTTTAGTCTAGATGCCCTTTGTTAATGTCCACAAACATACTTCTTTGTTTTTGTTTTTCTTGTTGAGGCGCTGACATGCAGAGCTGTTGTGTTTTGGTTTTGTATCAACCAAGCTTGTGTTGTGAGTCCAGTTAGTGCTGTTTGGATAGGTGGGTGTCTTCTGAGAGATTCCCACCCCAATCAGTGTGTGTACTCACGCCATTTCCTACACAATGTTTTGCCATAAACACTGTAATTAAATGGTCCAATGCTGGGCAGAAAGCCTGGAGTAGAAGGAATATGGTGTAAATGTTAAATAAATCTAATATATCCTACAAACGTGTATAACACCACAAAATCACAAATTATATATTTTTTTAGCTAGTGAATAGGGCTGGTTGATAAAACGATAACGCTAACTATTGCGATATAACTTTTCTCGATAGAAATATAAGAATTGTTTGATAAATGTTCGATATAATAGAGCATTCTCACACAACTAAACAGTTTAAAACTTGTAACCAGATAGCCTGGCGCCCTTGACCAGACAGCTAAAAATAATGTTTTCTTTCTTACATTATGAATATTACAAAAACTGTGGCTGTGCTTTTCCAGCTTTTCCACTTTCTCCAGCTGTCCCGTGACAGATTTGTGAAATGTTCTCCTGTTTGGCGAGTGTTTGTCATGTTCTGACCATAAAGGATAGTTTAAAACAGAAATGAACCACTATGAAATTTTTTATTGAGGTAAAATTTTTGGCCATATCGCCCAGCCCTGCTAGTGAATTCATTTATGTATCTAAAATAGATGAGTTAAAGGGATGAAACTACGATCACAGAGCTGGGCAATATAGCCAAAAACGTTATCACGATAAACAAAATTCATATCGTTCGATATCGATACATACCGCGATAAATGTCAAATCATGATTTCTTTCACGTTTGAAGGCTGATTTTGCTCCTGGGTGGTTAACTGTGGTTTTAAACTATCACTTATGGTCCGATCAGGACAAACACTCGGCAAACAGTGGAACATTTCACTAATCTGTCTTGGGACAGTGGGAGAAAGTGTCTGAGCTGTTTTATCAGCTGGAAAAGCACAGCTGCAATTTTTGTAATAGTCATGATTTAAGAAAGAAAACAGATTATTTTAGCTGTCTGGTGTCGAGCGCTCGGCTACCCCGCTACAAACGCTAAACAAGAGGCCAACAACAGAGCTAAACTCTTTAGTTTCTCAACAACGACGACTCGATTCGGTAGGTCACTGCGGTCACTCCTACCACATCCATGTCAGAGCAGATCACAGTATTCAGACACCAGCTAGACGGCTGGGTTTCTCTATGCTACCGTAGTAGTTTAAGGGGTGAACCGCAGTATATCTGACGCTCGCTGTGTAAAAGCGTTATCTGCAGTGTGAATCTCTCACACCAGTCACAGAGTCCTCCTTTTAGGCACGTTTAAACTGAAAGTGGTGATTTTGTGTCTTGTTTGATCTACAGTATCATCAATTCACCGTGTTGTGCCGGAGCGCTGCTTCAATTAGCCAGCAGCTAAAAACAGCTAGCCTGGAGAGATACCGCTGTCCCGCTCTCCAACGCCTCACAGCTTCCTCAGTTTACTTTCGAACATGAACCACTTCTTTCTTTCACTTTCGTTGCTTGAGAATGCACTAATACTAAAATATGGCGGTTTGGCGCTGTAACACGGCGCTGCAGACGTGATTTAACGCCACTAAAGTTGTTAGGATGTACAGAAAGAGGTGAGTTCGCCGTACAGTTACACCACTGACCTCGTCACTCACACTCGGTCACAGGAGAACAGATCGCCAGTTGCTCCACTCAAACAGGGACTGTATAACTCCGTGTTTCAGATGTTGCTAAAGTATATTTGGCGACCCTTTTTTTACTCGTCGCCCCTCCCTCTCTAATCAAGTTGAAAAACTCGGAAGTGCGCCCTCTCCTGGCGACAGCAGAGTAGTGTCGCTTTCCTTGCAATAGACGGCGTCACCAGGGCTTTCGCTAAAACGTGGAGGTGTGAGAGTGGTGTATTATATCGAAAAATTATCAAACCTGTCTTGTCGCTCTATCGAGGAAAAGTTATATTGCGATACTTATCGTTATCGTTTATCGCCCAGCCCTACGATTACAGTTGTAATCAAAACTGTTTTTTGGACTGGAAGGTGGCTGTTGGTGCTGTCATAATGTGTAATCCTGAGTCTCATATTCACTAATTCAAACGCTCCTTTGATGTGTTCACTTGGTATGTTCACCAGTGCCATTGATTAACAATCTGCTAAAAAAAAAGATGAATCCTTGATAACTTGGACGTCTTGATTCGTCCAAACTCCCACTCAAACTGATTAGTCAGGCTGCTCTTAGCCCACAATTAAACGCTTAGTCATTGCTTAGAGTCTAATTTGGTGATATAATATCTAATATACCAGGCAGCCCTACTAGCTAACATTATTAAACTATTTTGTTCCGACAACAGCGTTATTATACTTGCCAGGTCAATGTAACGTGATGTGAAGCTCTCCACGTTGAAATCAAGATACTACCACACTGACAGGCAGTTTCGTTAAGTACACTTTTTTTGTATTTACACTCTTCATCCTTTTATCAGCTCCATTTAACATATAGGTACACACAGTTTATGTTAATTGTCCTATTGCCATTTATCAGTGGTCACAGGATGCTGCCGACAGGACACTGACGGCTGGATATTTTTGGTTGGTGAACTATTCTCAGTCCAGCAGTGACACTGATGTGTATAAAAACTCCGGCAACACTGCTGTGTCTGATCCACTTGTACCAGCGCAACACACGCTAAGGCCCGAAACATACTTCACACAAGGACACGAACGCAAATGACAGCACTCGTTCAATGCACTGCAAACTCTGTTCTTCTGTACAAACTCACCGTGCGTTATTGCATTGCTGTGGCAGTTAAATCACTCAGTACTGAAGGGGGCGATAGAGGAATCTACTGTTATTCCAGCAGCCTCAACAGCTAAATGTGGAGGAGAGTGAGCCGCTTTACCTCTTCTCTTGAAATGGAAATGCGCTAATGTATGATATTTTTATGTTCATGTAAGCCGTCTTAACGTGAGACTCAACTGCTCGTCTGGTATGGCCGCTGGGACAGGCTTGGCTGTCGTTATAGCGCCCCTTGCTGTAACGCTCAGATTGCAGCTTGTGCTTGCATCGCATTATGAAATGCAACTACGCTGAAACCCCGTCTGTATGTTTCGGGCCTAACACGCCACCACCCTGTCAGTGTTACTGCAGTGCTGAGAATCCATCACCCGAATAAAACCTGCTCTGTGAGGGTCCATGGGGGTCCTGACCACTGAAGAACAGGGTAAAAGGGGGCTAACAAAGTATCAGAGAAACAGATGGACTACAGTCTGTAACTGTAGAACTACAAAGTGCACCTATATAGTAAGTGGAGCTGATAAAATGGACAGTGAGTTTAGAAACAAGGAGGTGTACTTAAAGTAGGGGCCGGTCAGGCGGGTATGTCCATAAAAACACCACTACAGTTCATTGCTACGTGGAGTTTATGAAATGGAGCATTCTGCGACTGATTGCATACGTGTGTACAAAATGATTTGAACATGCAGAGATGCAATAAATGTTACGCTTAGTCATTAGTCGAACTGAGATAATGAGGATGTTTTTAATGCATGGGTATGTCCTTGTGCCTTTGTGCATGTAGGACTGTTTGAAATAATATCTCAAAGGAGGTCAGTCTCAGCGTCTGAAGTGTAGTGTGTTGTTTGACTGCCCGTGCACGTTCCTATGTGTTCAGCCACTCCTCTTGTTTTGCTCAAGTTCTCCGTCAGCGCTAACCTATACAGACTCTAGCTCCATATAATGATTCACCAGCACTGACCTAGAATCCCACCAGCCCTGCCAAAAAGACGGGAAGGGACTGGAGGTTAATCTTGAAGGCAAACCAATTGCTTAGCAAATGCACCTAAACATGAAGATTAGTTCAGGATACTCTGTCTCCCCTACAGCAGCGGTGTGTTTTGACTGCAGAGCTCAGAGCCTGCCTGCTCTCGTTCGCTTTCAGCTCCTCCTGAATTTCACAAATCAGGGTTGTTACATAACCTCACGATTACATAACATGCGGCTGTTGGTGGAGGCAGCAGAAACTTGGTATTGTTTTTGTGCTACGCCCTGGGAAACATGCTGACCTAAGCACCATTATATGTGCTATTTTAGTTCCTTTTGTCGTGTTTACCATGCTCATGTGTTTAGCAGTAGATGGTGATTTTTTGATGGAGGTTGCTCCTCAAATACGAAGCATTGCATGCTGCTATAATAAACAGCTCCAAATACCAGTCATTCATCCAGAGCACTGCCAGATTGCAGGCTCTTACTTGCTGATCATAGATGTAGAGACACCAAAGCAGCACTGTGCAGTTTTCCATTATAGCCCTATGAAAACAGGAGCTACAGTAAAGCTGGGGAAGCATTAGAATCAGATTAGGTCAGTGTGCTGTTAGGTTAATTGTGGGGAATTTCTAGTCCATGTGGCTAAAATGCAAAAGCTTCAAAAGTAGCACAGGTGGCAGAGATTTTGGATTCCCCTTCATATAATATCTGTGACGTTGGGAAGCTTTTCCAAATTACACAGACAAATACAAAGTCAGATATGTGCATAACTGTCTAGAACCCATGTGTCAAACACAAGGCCCGTGGGCCAAGTCAGGCCCATAACACCGTCCTATTGTTTTTTGCTCTGATTTTTCTTCTCCTTATTATTATAAAGAAAAAAACTCCTGAAAAACTTGGCGAGTAGGTGTAGTTTGTGTGCATCTCGCCAGGCAACAAAAATGACCCCGATTGGCCAAAGGAGGGGGCGCTATAGAGCAGCAAAACATGTTTTGCTTTATAACTCCTAAACCAAGACGTGTAGAGATGAAGTTCTTTTTGTTCCTGATTCCTTGGGTCAAGCCAGCTTGGCCATTTGGACAATTTAGTTCCGCCCACTAAGATTTTTTGCTAATTTGCATAATATGCAAAACCTACTTTTGTGAACTAGTCCTACAATTTTCACTCAATCCTCGTGTATCCAGTATCAAAAAGGTAAAGAAGAGTCTGTTCATCAATATTCGTCAAAAACATGTTGACTTTTGTAAATAATGTGGCTGCCATATGCTAATTAACCCTTCTAACATAATTTATAATTATGACAATTTTTAATAAGTATTCAGTGCCTATTTTGCTGCTGCTGTTTTGGCATGTTTTGAATAAACAGTGGCCCTTTCAGGTCACGGCAAAATGTAAAACTGAAATAAAAACACAGCTGGTCCATGGTTTTTTAATATGGCCCTTTTAGTGGTTGGGTTTGTCACCCCTGATCTAGAACATGCTGTGCAGAGACCTCCTGTATTAAAGAAAACAAAGCATTTAAGAATAATGGTTTTGTAAAGTCTTGTGTCTGTGTTTTGCTCCTTTTGTTCTGTTTGATGTGGAGAGGAAGTGTGTGCAGTGGATTCCATCTTCCTCTGTGTTTCACAGGCCTCGCGGTGGGTCTCGGCATCGGCGCATTAGCTGAAGTAGCCAAGAAAAGCCTTCGTCCAGAGGAAAAGAACGGTAAGAATTTTCCCTGCTCTCTTTGTTCTCTGCGTCAAGTCTCATCACTTTAGATCCTGTTTTCCTGTTCTGGAATTGAATTGAAAGTCTGGCCTTTCTTTTCATGTTGTAAATATGCTTAAGCCTTGGGTTCAATGCACGACTTTTAAAGTCTGAACAGGTTATGAAGGACTGAGTGTCTCACTCTGTCCAAATGATTTTTTTGGGTGACTGAAATATTGAGGATCCACACTGAAAGCTTTGGCATCACACACTACTCAACTTCTCAGCTGCTGCTGAACCGAACGACTCACTGAAGTTGTGCAAACTCTCTCGTTCTCCCTTTAACAGGAGACGCTAATAAACAAACGTGGAGCTGCTGCTGCTGTTTTCTCTGCCGTTTGCGTTGAAACAGTAGAGAAGCAGCAGGCAAACGTATTTAAGGGGATCATGGATTTAAAATGTGATCAGTTGGTGTTTTTAGAGTTTTAAATGTACATCAACTCGATTTTGCCTTAAACTCAGCTTATTAACAAGCTTCACTCCACACGTGAGAGACTCTACACTTTTTCTTTCTTTACTTGCTGTTTTTTTCTTCTTTCGCACTCTGTTTTCTTTGGCTGTTGCAGGAATCCGTTCAGATTGAGTCGTTGACCAGTTCACACTAGATTTCACTCAGAGTCGGGTCAAAAAAATCAAACGTTTGATAAACTCCAACTGGTCTGAAACGCGATTAGGAGGCCAAAAATCTGAGTCTGTGCCGGGCACACACGACTCGACTCTCTCCAGCTGTCAGGTCAAAGTCAAGTCAAAGTTTATTCATATAGCGCTTTTTACAGCAGGTGTTGTCCCAAAGCAGCTTTACAGAAAAATCCAGGTCCGAGCCCCCATGAGCGTCGCCAGTGGCGACGGTGGCAAGAAAAATCTCACGACTGACCCAAAAATCTGCAGACTAGAGCCGACTAGCTCAGACTCAGCCAGACTAAAAATCGGGGTAAAAGTCGTGTAGCGTAACCCCGACTTTACTCCCATCCTACAGTGGTGCCTCAGTCGTCTCTAGAGTGAGTTTTTCGGTTCAAAGATTAAGAAAACCCCCTTCTGGTGATGTTATCTTGAAGGTGAACTTATGAAGAACTGCAAGTGCTTTGGGGGCGAGTACCTGAGAGCAGGCTTTTTCAGTAATTTATTCATTTACCCTTTTCAGCTGGCTGGCTGATGCAGAACGATGCCAGACAGCTAACTCACTGCTAGGAAACGGAATTTTATGTCTGTGTTTATTAGGCTGTACATGAGTGGCTATGCTAGCAGTCAGGATTTTTTTTGTTTCATCTCTGGGGGGGGATTCCCAATGGCTGTATCACGTGTTTGTGTAATGTATGCTGGGTATTGTAGTAAGAGAACACTTTGTGGACAAAAACACAAAAAGGAATCTAGTTTTAAGTTTCAAGTTTATTTGTCATTTGCACAACATGGCAGGACATTCAGACATTGAAATGCTTGTGGTGAGGCTCAGCTAATCACTCTACAGCAGGGCAGCATTAAATACATACTGAAAACAGTGCAGACAAACTGACAATATATTAAATACACACAATATAGAGTCAGGAGGGACCTACGCAGAAGAACTCTGAGTCATTCTATAGAAATGTCCATTTTTGTGTCCCTAGCGTTTACAGATATATTACACCTGAAAAACATGTTAGGGTTACAATTTATTTAGATTTTAAAATAAAACAATGTTATTTTAACAATTACACCTTCTTGAGCCTCAATTTAGCAATATTGGTTTTTAAATCAATCATATAGAATTCCATGCACCACAGAAGAGCTCGTCCCCACAGTCATGTGTAAAGACTGAGGCCATATTTTGAAGTAAAAAACATGTTTTTCTGCAGTTTTAACTGCAATAATCTATACATGACTATGAAATATATGAATTAAATGACAAAGAAAACAAATGCCAAATAAATATTATAAAATATACAATGACAGTTGTTGTCCCCAGGAGTCGAGTCACTGGTGTTACTGCGTAACAATAAATCTCTTATTTTGAAATAAAAGTCACACTGATGACATCACTTCCTTTTACCTGTTTTCTGAGGATCTATGAAGAAAAGCACATGGTGAGTCCACTGTGTGTTTCAGTTATCAGAGATATCAGGGCGGGACCCACAGCTTCACCAGTTAACACATCAGTTTTAGTCCCAGATGCCCCTTTAACTGCGTAACCCATCTGAATGAATCGTTGATTCGCTGAGTTTCTGTTTTGGCCTCTGAAGCCGTAGGAGGTCATTCAGAGACAGGTGAGTTGCTGAGCCTTACTGCCCCTGACCGCTGCAGCTGTTGAACAAGAATTGGGGCAAACCCTTAGTTAAAACTGACCTTTCAACAACTTTCCTAAATTAGCTTGTCATCATGTCTGAAAAGGCTGACTTAATGTAGACCCCAGCCATTGTCTCATAACACTCACAGAACAGTATGTGTAAAATAGGAATGCCCAGACGTTTTTGGCCCGCTGAGCTGGAACATGTAATCAGAGCAGAAAGCTTAAAATAAAGGGAAATGCCATGTAATTTATACCTCAGTCAAAATACAGCTTGTCTGACAAGACTAAACATAGTGATCCCACATGTACAGTCCGAACAGTCCTGCTGTGGAATGTAGCTATTGCGTATTGAACGAGCATTAAAGGTAAGGTGTGAAATACAGGGTCCCGGGACCCCCTAATTAACCCTTTTAGACCCCCAGAATGTCTCAGTCAAAATTATGGGAGGTTGCTGGAAAGAAACTTTTAAGAATTTGTTAATGGTGTCCAATAGTGGGGAAAAACAGATGTAATGAAAAATAATTGAAATCAGAAAAAGCTCATTGAAAAAGTGATGTTTTGTTTTAGCCTGCTTTACACTCAATAGTCTGCCTCAGGGTGGCGCTGTAGCAAACTGGTTTCTCCCCTAAACGCAAAGTCCACTAGGAGTTTGGCAACTATAGCTAGGGACAAACACTTCAGATGCTCCGCAGTGCACTGCCTTGTTAAGACACGATGGGCAGTGTTGGATCTGGATTAAACGCTGTGTTTTATTTGTTATTAACTTGTTGAGTCTATGGAGTCGATTAAACCCACACTGAGCACGAACTCCCCATGAGCCTTAGAGACAAATGGAGAATGTTGACCGTCTAATCTACAGGTGGGCAAAATATCGTTGCAATACTTAAAGATACTTAAAGTTTTATGATGTGAGATGCGCATAATGATATCGCTGCTGTCGGAAGAAAACCTCGTATCTCCAAAATGGTAACTTCACAAAAAAAATGGAAAAACCTACTTTACTTTTCAGTGTAAGTCAATGGAACCGGATTGTTTTCCAAGTCATTTGTGGTCATTTCTTTTAGTCCATTCATCTTGAAATTTACACCAAATAGGGCAACAGGCATTGTCAGAAACTGAAATGTCAAAAATGGAAATACGAGTTTTTTTTCTCGACAGCAGCGAAATACCGACACACAAACGCAGTGCACTAGTAATTTTTTTCAAACACGCAGTAAATACTGGCGAGACCCGCGATGTGTGCCCTTTAAGCATATCATCTATCATGATGATAAAATTTATCATAATTACTATCTAGCTAACATTGAAAGTATGTAACAACTCAAAGGGGCATAATCAGTAAAAAGTATCTTTAAACTCATATAATCATACTAGTTTTTCTCCAAACCGCCATCAGCAATTGTCCAATTCAATATTTTCATTTTTGACTAGTGTTTCGGTTTTGTAATGTACCTGTGAGCTGGGTAAGTGCACTCACGCCGACTCTGCTGAATAGCTGGTTGCCGCCTACTTTTAATGTAGCTTTTTATGATAAATTGGCAACTATTATCATTACCTTAATTAATTAATTTAATTTAATTCATTCATTCATTCATATCAGAGTGGTACATTCAGGTTGTTAAGCAAAATAGCCCCCAAAGAAAACACATTTTTCATATTTACCACTTTTTTAACTACTATTTTACCTTTATCAACATCACACGTTAAAGCTCAGAAGACACGTGTAGGTTCACTGGTGGTTTTGGACGGTTAATAAAATGTCTATTTGTATTAGATATCGTGACCGCTGGTTTCTGTCACCACCACTGTAAAGAAACCAGAGTTGGAACCATTTTACATCAAATCACTCTAAATTACTTGTTTGTCACTAATTAATTTATGCAGAATTGTTGAAAAATTGGTGGAATTCTCTTTTAAAGTGCTATTATTTGGTTCAGTTCTCAGTAAAAGAAACAGCTGTTTTTTTTTTTTCCCCAGATACATCAAACAAATGGGCTTCTTCCTGCCTTGAGTAATCTTACCATCTTTCCCAAATCATGTGGCTTAATATTCTCTCAAGCCACATTGAAAGCATGGTTTTAAATGAATACACTTGAATGAACAGTAATACATTCAGTAGCCTTTCACCGTAAACAGTGACTTTTCATTTTGAATCAGCATAACGTTGAGAAGGTTTCAGTTTTACAGTGGGCTGTGATCTAAATTTGTGAAGTCTACTGGACTAATCTGAGGGCTGAATGGCCTCTGAGTCTGGCTGGACGCAGAAGAGCCCGTCAGCTGAAGCCTGTAATGAGATCACAGAGTTAGATGCCACATGTGTGGGTTAATGAGAGACTTTAGCAACACACACGAGTAGCCAGACACGCGCACACAAACTCTGTCTGTTTTTATAGTGGATCACCTTGGATTCCCTGGTTCAAAGTGTTTGTTTACCTGGTAACAAAAGCCAGACATACTATAAATATGATACATATGCATGGCAGATTATCAGGTTTGCTATTTTGATGTTCAATTACTAAATTCAGTTTGACCTGCATTAAACTGAAAACATTATCACCCACCCCATCCCCACACACACACACAATATTGGATCTTGTACTTTATGAACTTTATTGTAAATATTTGCTCATTCCGAATATGATGCCTGCAGCATGTTCCAAAAAAGTTTGGACAGGAGCTTGTTTACCACTGTCTACCACTTTTCATGCCATGTGGTGTGAATGATCCATCATAGAGCCATGACTGTTGTGCAGTGCCATCTGAAGGGTCAAAGGTCACAGGGATTTAGTTGTAGTTTTTGGCCTTTGTTTTTATGCACATAGATTTTTCTGGATTCCCTGGATCTGTGGAGAGGGAAATACCTAAAATCCTTGTGTATTGGCTAGATGGCGAGCCGTGACCCATCCTTGCTCTTTGAAAACCAGGCCTTTCCAGGATGCTTTTATACCCAAGCATGAGTAATCTGCCCCATGCAAGTTGTTGTTAAGCAAAATAGCCACAAAAGAAAACTTATTTTTCATATTTAACACTTTTACCATCAACATTATGTATTAAATCTCAGAAGACACGTGAAGGTTCGCTGGTGCTTTTGGTGTTTTTTCTCCGTTGAAGAAACAAAGGGGCTTCTTTCTGCCTTGAGTAATCTTTCCATCTTTCCTAAATCATGTGGCTTAATATTCTGTCATGCCTGTACATAAGCATGATTACATCATCTCTTTTAAAATGTTTTCTGAATATTTAACAATGTTCGTAGTATTAATGAATTAGTATGCGGGTTAAAGCGTATTTACAAATCGCTGCTTTCTGTTTTTACCGTTTTTTGAATTGAGTTTGTATTTACACATTGTAACTGTGTGGTCCTGCTTTGAAGTAACCCTTCTGTTCTTCCAGGAGATAAGAAAGCCGTCCTAGACTCCAGCCCCTTCTTGTCCGAAGCCAACGCGGAACGCATCGTCAGGACGCTGTGCAAAGTGCGTGGCGCAGCCCTCAAACTAGGCCAGATGCTCAGCATTCAGGGTAAGTCAACATGTTCTAAACATTAGGCTTTATAATATGACCACAGCATCTGACCTTGTGATGGCCCCAACCAGTAGGCCTGCTGTCTGGCCGGCTTTATGGCCACTGCCTGCTTACGCTGTCATGGAAGCCGTAAGTCAAGCTCATTCTTGCGGCTACGTTGCGCTCTGTTAATGGTCAACTCCACTTAGTGTCACAGGCTAGTTGTGTCATTGTCAGTGAAAGATGTTACTGGCACTCACATTTGGATAGGAAGTTGGGGGGGGTGGGTTGCGGGGGGGTGTTGGTTACGTTATGGATTAAAATAAAGTTCTAGAACAAGTTCGAGTTACAAGTCTGGATTTCTTTGTTTCTGACGTCGAGTGTGCCAACCATACGCAAGTGGGCTGTATTTTTCCAGTGGGCACAACCTAAACCTTGTCCTAGGCTGAAGGGCAAAAGGCCTTTTATCATAACTAATTATCCTTTATAGTGTTTAATCTACTAGTGACGTTGCGTTTGAATGTTTTCAGGGGGTCGGCTTTTTTGCATTTGAAACATAATTGCTGAACATGGTGTTTTAATTACCCTGCATTGCTAATGTGATTTTAAACTTACATCATTGATTTTAATCCGATACCAAAAAAAAAGATACAGTGCAAAGATAGTGTTGTTTTGGGTTAATGTGTCTTTTAAGGTCGGCAGAAATGCTGTTCTGTGATGTATTTCTGAATGAAACACAATATCAGGAAGGGTCTCTGAGCTTCTTGCTGAGCGATTTCGCTCAATTATTGGTTGAAGTTATTTTGATTATTTAACTATTTTAATTTAATTTCTAATTTGATTCTTAATTTAATGATTTTCTCTTTTAAATGTATTGTTTTAATGTCGTTTTAATTATGTTTGTGTTGTTTTTAATTGTTTTTCTGTTTGTGCTTACTTTACTTTTTTTTTAAACTCTGACTCTGAATTTTCTCATTTGTAAAACACTTTACATGACAACAGTGTTTGAAAATAAGCTTGGCTTGCCTTGGTCAGTTGGATAGGCATTGGACAATGGGCCGCTAAGCCTAGACTTACAGTTCAATAACTACATCAGAGCAGCTCATAGCCGCGCACACTTTGTCTGATTCTTTTCACATGGGGCAGTTTTGTGTGTTTATATCCCTCTGAGTCAGCATAAAAGTTTTGGCAGACTTCTTCCTGCTTGATCTTCATCGAACTTTACTTGGTCGTCTCTCTGATCCTGCCCTCAAAAACAGTTTTGCTCCAAGCTGCAGCTGCGTAAGGCCGGCAAAAATACGCTGGCCAGCTGCAGAGGTCAAGAGCCTCGCTGTCCATGAAACTTGACCCAACGTTTCACTTCACATTTGCCGATTTGGCCGTGGCCTTCAGTTCGTGAAATGTGGGTTATTTCAAATAGACATGTGAAGCATTTCATTCATTCATGCATGTGTAGCCACGTTTACATGCAGCCTAATAATCCATTAATAAGCCGACTAATAGATCAATCAGAATAGAATACGTGTAAACACCTCAGTCAGAATAGTTTAGTCTGACTGAGGCCATTCAGGAAACAGTTTCTATCCAACTGAACGAGGTGTGTAATCCTGTAAATAATCTGTTAAATAGAAGAATAATATCTGTGTAAACGTCTGTATCTGATTACATTCCCTATCGGAAAGTTTAAGTCCGTTCTGATCATGTTCGTCACGTCATAGTGAGAGTTTATACCGTTCAACATGGCGGAGCAGAAACTGGTCTGCAGAGGAGACGAAGTTTATGCTCTGATCTTTAAAAGACGGCGGTGGGACGGACGTCCAGCTTATGTGTCTCAGAACACGACGTCTTCCTCTCGGCCTTCTTTAATAAGGACATGTGAAGGACGTTTTCCTGAGTCTGACATCATTTTAAAGGAATTAAAAACACAAGCGCTGCTCACTGCTGCTCATCTCACTCTGACTGGACTCGTTAAGCTGACATGATGCTGGTTGCCATGGTAACGTCTATGCATGTGTGTAATTTTGGATCTGATTACTTGTAGCGCCGTACTGATAATACGGTAATTAAATATGGAAACTTTCCAAATCTACCACGACGAGAAGACATGAGTGTCGTCAGTGTCGTCATAACCTTCTGAGGAATTACATTTCAATGTTGTGACAATGTAGAAAAGCACCAAGCAGACGACGCTGTGGGCACCAAAACAGTCACAGCGTAACTGTGTTTGCAGGGCCTTTAGGAATAAAACCTGATGGTTTTGCTTCCTAACGGAAATTGGCTTGATGGTTGCAGTCAGAGACCATTAGGAAACGTTCAAATGTATGTGGAATTAGTCCCAAAACACCTGACGATCACCTGACTAAACAATCATAATCCTTTACACTGTGATATCAACCCATCAGGAAAAGCAGAAGACCATTAGTGGCTACTGAAAACCACCAGGAACCAACAGACACGAGTTATGGATGAAAAATAGATTAAGTGATGTCGCTAAGCAGTAGCAGCCAAAAGTTACCGTGCCGTTGGGCCGATTCTGCCGTTGTGGCAGAGGGTGCATGTGCACGTGACGTCGCTGGGGCTGAGAGTGCATCTGGCTGAAGGTGCATGTCTGCAGCCAGACTCTGTTGATCAGATTGGCAAAAATCTTTGCATGTAAACACAGACAGTGAGACACAAAGCGGCTGTCTCGTCCGTCGCCCACACCTAAATGCATCTCCCTATTAATGGACATCATTTTAGAAGACATTTCTGTAAAGCCTTCATTCACCACCGTCATGTGTTGCTGTTATCCTGACAGAATGAATGGTAGACTTGCTAGTGCTTGATAATGTCAGGTTCAGGTTCAGGTTAGGGCGACAAAGGAATGGTACAAATCGATGGCCTGCTCCTGGCATTGTCCTGCGAAGCTGTCAGTCGCATTACAGCCCTAGCATGGGCCAAGTTTAAAATAAGCCAGCCACCATGCAGAAACGTCTGACCTTTTGCTTTGAAGTGCTGTGAAGCTGCTTGTTGCCCACAGTCGGCACGGTTTGCTTTTAATAAACAAACAGCTAGGAGAAGCTAATGTAAACTGTTTATGGCTGTGGTTAAAAAGAGGAGAGAGATATGAAGTTGTCCTGCATGGTTCAAGCAGAGGCAGCGGGCCAAAGTGCTTAACAGCAAAGATTAATTCTTAAACAGATCAAATGGAGGCAGATATCTGTCCCTTGATATGAGGCTCATGTTTATTTTACCTTTAAGGTAAACCAGAGTAAAATCAGTAGCGCCGTATGAAGTCTGTGGATGGATGGATGGATTTAACCCGTTTATCCATGACTTTAAACTGAAACCCATGTATGATCAGCGTGTTGTCAGTCCAGTGTTTTAATCATTTTATGAACTCTTGGCAGCTGATTGTGGTGTGAGTTTGCGGTGTTCTGATGTGGTATGCGCTGTTTATCTCTCCTCACACCCTCCCACTATCCTTCACTCCTCCCTCTCATCCCTTCTCTTGGTGGCTCTTGGCAAAACTCTCAGTGCTTAGCAGTATAAATCTGGCCTAACTGTCGTTTCTCTTACAGCCTTTACAGCCCCATTAGCATGCACAGGCACTACCAGCACAGGACACAAGCTTTACCAGAAGTATATATATATATATATATATATATATATATATATATATATATATATATATATATATATATATATATATATATATATATATATATACACACACACCCCGATCAGGCATAACATCATGAACACTTACTATATAGGTGCACTTTGTAGTTCTACAGTTACAGACTGTAGTCCATCTGATACTTTGTTAGCCCCCTTTTACCCTGTTCTTCAGTGGTCAGGACCCCCATGGACCCTCACAGAGCAGGTACTATTTGGGTGGTGGATCATTCTCAGCACTGCAGTAACACTGATGTGTTGGTGGTGGTGTGTTAGTGTGTGTTGCGCTGGTGCGAGTGGATCAGACACAGCAGTACAAAGTGCACCTATATAGTAAGTGGAGCTGATAAAATGGACAGTGAGCGTAGAAACAAGGAGGTGGTCTTATGTTATGTTATGTTATGTTATGTTATGTTATGTTATGCCTGATAGGTGTGTGTGTATATATATAATGTGTATGTGTGTGTTCTGCCCGCGTGTTTTGTATGAATTCAGAGTGCACAGCTTATGTACCGTCTACATGGGAAAAACATGAAACGTGTTTCTTTTCCTTGTGTTTATGTATTTGTGGGAGGTTTACTTCAAATATGAGAGGTAAAGATGTTGCGAATGTTGCTGAGTGTTGCAGTTTTGTGTGGAATTTTCTTCACCTCTGAAAACCAGACATTAATTAGCAGATGGTCTCAAAAGTGTTCTAACAATGTCAGCAGTCATAGTGACTGAATGGACAGTGCTGAAAAATATTTAACAACAAAATAAGCTAGAATATTTCCACTCTCAGGGTAGATGTACGTACATGAGAAGGGGCAGAAAAATGTACTTTGATTCCATCACCGTGTGCATGTGCAATCCATGTTATTGGTTGCCAGATTGTGTTTTTTGGAGCTGGAGTGGAATCACGCTCTTCTAGAATGTTTTGATGGTTAAGAATTTAACACCTCTCTCTCTGGCTTTGTTCACACAGCAGGTAAAAGTGGCCCAAATCCAGTCTTTTTCTTAATTTGTGGCACAGATGAATATCTGTGTGTCTGTGTGAACAGATAAACACACTAAATCTCACATTTTTGTCTCTCATTGTTTGCCTCTGGATGATCCACATGAAGCGCTGTTCATTTGCGCATGTGGGTCAGTTTAGGAGCTGATCTGTGCAGACTGATGTCTCAAGTAGGTCATATTTAAAAGATATTGTGAACAGCCTAACAACAAAAAAATCTGATTTAGTAAACGTCAGATTTGAGCCACGTTTACCTGCTGTGTGAACATAGTCTTTGTCACTGAGCTGCATTTTTGTCCCGAGCTTGTTGATGGTTCCATTATTTCACTTTACCGTTTAAATGCTGTTCCTCACAAGCATAATAAACTGTAAACAGCAATTTCTCGTACATACATTGCACCTGATTGGTGTTTATTACAGTTGTTAACTTTCAGAGTCTGTTTTTTACATTGCAACAAACAATATGAATTGGGTGGGTTGATTTGGAGCAAATGCATAATAGAAAGCAAAGTTTCTAGAATAGGAAGATTTAGAAATAACATTTCCTGCTTTTTTTTTTTTTGCTTAGAAAAAAGACAATTAAATTGTTTATTGACATTTTATATGATTATAGTCTGAAATTTCATGATCGCAACAGGCCTAACCTATATCAACGTATATTTTTAACGTGCACACACAGCTTTGATATGCCACAAAACTTGCATAGAAAGGATATTAGCATTGCTTGTAGCCATTGTACCTTTCAGAATGTGACTGTTTTTCTCTCTTTCCTCCTCAGACGACGCCTTCATCAACCCTCAGCTAGCTAAGATTTTTGAGCGGGTTCGTCAGAGCGCCGACTTCATGCCCATCAAACAGATGACGGTACAGACTGACCGAACACGATAAAATAAACCTTTTGGACGTTCTGCTAAGCATGCAGAAGACCACCAACACGTATGTTCATCTCTCCATCCACAGAAAGCTTTGAACAACGACCTGGGCCCCAACTGGAGGGACAAACTGGAGATGTTTGAGGAGAGGCCTTTTGCTGCTGCCTCCATTGGCCAGGTGCATTTGGCCAGGATGAAGGATGGTCGAGAAGTTGCCATGAAGATACAGGTAAGGCTAAAGAATGACATGAAAGAAGAAAAGGTAGCTCTTATCCAACTGAAGATGGCACGCTGAAACTGATCTTCATTATGCTGAACACAGAGGAAGCGTAATCATCACTGTTTCATCTCTAACGCGTATGCCTTAATCAGTAATCTGCTCCGTTTGTTTTAGTACCCTGGAGTTGCACAGAGTATCAACAGTGATGTAAACAACCTGATGGCTGTCCTTAGTATGAGCAATGCCCTGCCTGAAGGTGAGATTTATTGTTTTATTGTTTACACGTGTCTATTTGTATGGTTTATTATGGCAATTATATCCAGAGAATGGCCCTTTACTCTGGCTACTTACTGATCTGTGTTTAAGGACAACTTGACACCATTTCCTCACTCTGCCCTAAATCCCTTTATTCTTCTTTATTCTTCTATTTAGTGAATAGAATTGTGTTAAAAAAAATATAAGTTACTGGGTACAACATTATTTTCATCTTGAGATAGACGCACTTATCAAATGAACTAAATCAAATCAAATCGCCTGTCACATCATATTTACACAGGTGTGAAGGTGAGTGAAAATCTTAGGTGTGTAGCCCCCTTGTAGAACTTAAATACAAACAATATAAGAAAGGAAAAAAAGGAGATATTATGTAATATATATTATACACACACACACACATTAGACTCAGCACTGACCACCACGTGTTGAGAATGATCCACCACTCAAATAGTACCTGCTCTGTGAGGGTCCATGGGGGTCCTGACCACTGAAGAACAGGGTAAAAGGGGGCTAACAAAGTATCAGAGAAACAGATGGACTACAGTCTATATATATATATATATATATATATATTAGGGGTGGGAATCTTTAGGCACCTCACGATTCGATTCAATTACGATTCAGAGGCTGCGATGCGATTATAAAACGATTATCGATGCATCTTTTTTCTCTATACATGATTTCTATCTTCCTACTGTCTGAGGACTTGGTAGTTTTAAAGCAAAGTATTTGTAATGATCCAGAATGTAAATGCATTACGGATCATTACAAATACTTTGCTTTAATTATCTAAAATATCTTTTATTAATAAATCAAATGGAAGTGATGCGGCAAGTGAACTAGAAGGCTCTCAGTCAGAGACGCTGCTGCCACTCATCTGCGATAAAATGCGCTGTTGCCCTGAAATAAGATCCAGTGGCAATGGGTGTCCAGACAGCGCGTTACAGCCACCCTTTTGGTCTCGTTGTAGAGAGTTGGGGGTGGGGGGGGGGTATTTTCGAGACTGGACGCTGAATCTTGGCTCCAAAGTGTGCAGCATAGCGCGAAAGCCCTGGTTCTCAACGACTGAGAACAGACAGCAGACAGCAGGTCACACAGCCCCGAGGTCTGGCCTCGCCAGTAGCGAACGAAAAAACAGATTCAGACGAACATTTGGAGACTTATTCGCATTTATAAGCAGCGCGGTTGGTTAAATCTGCTGAGAGACTGTCTTTCTCAAAAACGTTGCGAAAATGAACTCGCTTCTCTTTCGAATTTTCCTGTTCCACCTTAAATGGTGCAGCAGTTACATTCGGCGCCTAAGGCAGAATTTAAGGTGGAATGGGAAAATTAGAACGAGAAGCTGGCGAATGAGAAGCGACTTCAGCCTCGTAAAACAGCCGGACGCTGAGACATTTTACAAGAATCTCTTCTAGTTTTGGAGAAAGGTTTTCTGGCGGAGATGGGAGGAAAGCGGCTAAAGCTAAAGCTTAAAGCAGAGCGGAGTAAATCTGCGCTCTCGTTTATATTTTTAGCCCATACTAGGACATTAATACACACTGAGACATACTGGGCATTAAATGTTGTGGCTCCCAAGGTGGTTTAACTTCGTTGAAAGGCAAAATGTCTCTCCTTATCGTTTGTGTTGTGACTCCGGACCTGACCTGGCTTTAACGCAGAGGGAGCCGGTCAGATTTCTCACTCATCCAGTAGTGTTTTTGTTATGTGCCCCACAGACTGTCCGGGCGCTGCACTTTCCCACTTGCAGTTTCGCCTTTTGCGTTCCGTCAACATTACGTTATAAATTAAATATTTAGAAAATCGATTTTTGACGTTGAATGAATGGATTCAGAATCGTTCACGTCCGCATCGCGATGCATCTAAGAATCGAGTTTTTCCCGCACCCGTAATATATATATATATATATATATATATATATATATGTCTGGACACATCCTGAACAAAAATGTCATTAATGGTGAGCAATAGAGCAGGAAATCTATAAGGAAGTATCCATATCAGACCTTCCATTTATCAATCTCACAATAAAATGTTGTACATCTTTCTGCAAAGCTGTCATATCTCAATTTATTTTAAAATATTGTTTTGAAGCCTTGCTTTTATCCTCAGATCATAAGAATATCATATGTGTGAGTATAGTGCAGTAAACAAATGCACTTACTTCAATATGTAGTGAACTTAAAATACAGTATCTGTTTACTGTCCATCTGTTGCCCTGACCAGTGTACCCTCTCTCTCTTCGTCTACAGTTGTCAGCGTGTTTATTAATACAAGGTCATTCGCGGATTCACAGGTTGCAACTAAAGATAGAACGTTTTGTACATTTGGGCTGAGGCTGCTCGGCGAAGAACATGTTGTCTCCGGCCGATGATGTTGACTGAGTCAGTTGGAAACTTGTATGTACATCTGTGATCCAAGAAGCTGGCCTGAAATCAGAGACTTCAGGGCCACAGGGAGTTCAGCTCGCGTGTGAACAGATAGAGCTGGGTCATTGTGCTGTGTCACTGTGTGGAGGCCTCGTTCTCACCATACAAAATCAGTCTGTTTCAGAGATTCAGCTGTTGGAGATTCTGCTAAACCCACGAAATAGTGTTCAGGGCCAGAACTGCAGCTCTGATGAGCTCGTGGGTCACTGTGGCCCATCAGTCCATTATTTTTGTTTTTTTTTTTTAAATTATGGTTATTGATTTGATTGAATTATTGTTTAAATTCATTTGTTTATTTATTTAAATGAACCATTTCCCTTTATTACTGCATCGTGTGAAGATATATCTATAACGAGTGGTATTTTTTCCTGCAACTTTTCACAATCTGTTTATTGTTGTCAGACTTATTTTTTAGGTAATATATATATTTATCGCAAAATTTAGTGTTTTATCTCATTCCCGCAACACGTTGACAGCCATTGAGGTTTGTTTTTCTTGTTACTGGTGCCACAGAACATTTTGTTGTTTTGATTCACAAGAGATCAAAACTTAAAGGTAATATCAGCCAGTTTATTTTAAATTAACAAGGCAAAATAAAATAAAAAATAAAAAAAAAATAAAATGGTAATGAGAAACACATCTGTGGACACGTTGCGGTAATATAAATTACGGTAAAATGCGGAAAAAAAAACCTTTAAAATAGAAAAGTTCTTTGCTGTACCAAATTGAGCTCCAGCTGATCTGCTAAAAGATACTGATGTTCTTTATCTGCATGAGGCTTATGACACAAATATGTGTGGCCATGTTTTGAGGCATGACACCTGTGCGTACTTGACATATCTGTGAGACATGAGGGTGTAACGATACACCGATTTCACTGTATTTACGCTGTTTATGCACCACAATACAGTACATTTTCACACAGAAGTGGGGGGGGTTCTTTTTTTTGCTTATATTTTGTCCAGTTGGCAAAACAAGACCTGTGTAACCAACAAAAACAAGTAATTTTTAGAAGTTTGAATTGCATCACACTGTGTCGTGGTATCGGGACTAGAATGTTGGCTTGTGACATTTTAAAGCCCAGCTTTTGATTCAAATATTGTACTTGTATAATGTTTATACACTCTGTAAATACTCTATAAATAATAAACTGAAAATCAACATCAGTAGTTTATTAACAATAGGCACATTTTTAGCCACGGCCACATTTTCACTGTATTGAGAAATGTAGTGAATCAAGAAATTAAGTATATTGTATAGAACACCCTACTAATGGGGCACATGGTCACCTAGGCTTATATTGGGGCATATAAAGCTGAAACAGGGATTTGCCCCTAATTTGAGAGTGATGTGTAAAAATTCTCCTTAATTTCCGTTTTCCTGAAGTTCAGCTGTAATATTCATCTGTTGTAGACTTCTTCCCTGTTGACAGGAGTATATATGTCTACGGGTTTAATGTTAATGAGAGAAATTGGTAGACATACTCGTACAGTTTGAATTATTAATTTACATCTGTTATTATTATTAATTAATAATGTAATATTGATCCAGACACACCTATTTAACTCTGTCTAAGCTTTTAAAACGTTTTTAGATGCAAGATTATGTGAAGTTTAATCCTAAGTAATCATGATCAACAGTTTTAAAGTTTCCCATGTCTGCATCGACTGATGTCTCGTCTCCTCTGTTTGCCTGTTGTCGTTTGTCTGATCAGGTCTGTTTCCAGAGCACTTGATAGACGTGATGCGGCGCGAGTTGGCTCTGGAGTGCGACTATATAAGGGAAGCCAAGTGCGCTCGCAAATTCAAGTAAGTTAACCACCAGGAAAACCTTTGTCCTCTGCTAAATTTTAGCATTTCCACATGGCATGAATCATTTCCCTCATTTCTCAACTTCTCTAATCAAGTGGGTGCCATCTGTTGACCTTTGCCCTACTCTTTAACTGGCAAATGGCTACACTCGGCCGGCTTTTCCTTGACTGCCTGGTGTCATACTCAGTTAATCTGAGGCATGCTTCATGGCATTGTGTCCTCCCAGGAACATTTGCACATGGTATAAATAAACATTAGAGTATTCAGAATGATTGTGCTCTTCTGGAATGGTAACCCTCCGTGGCTTCACAGCTCAGGACTAAGAATAACGCCTCCTGGCTTTCGGGTCTGGCGTCAGGTTTCGATGACCTGACGTGAAGGAACTGTGTCTGTTAGCTGCCAGATCGTAAATATAGATAAACTTGAACTAACACACAGTGACAACAAGGCTACCAAATGCCAACCCCCCAACCCACCCTCTGTTCAGGCCCCTGCTGCAGGCCCGTGTCTTTGATGACACAGAAAGGGAATGATTTGATTTACATCCAAGGAAAGGAGTGAATGGAATACAGTTACATCCAAGTCCTAATGGGAAGAGAGAGCATGCATGAAAGACGACCCCTCACCCCACCTTCAGCTTCATGATTCCGGGCTGACCAAGGCCTGAGCTGGCATAGCCAGTGTAGGCCAAAGATAAAACAGAGGCCCTGTGAAGTGTTTCTTTCTTGGCGACGTAGCATGTTCCACTCTTCAACTGGAATTTAATGTTCTCAGGTTTAAAGCCCCAGGGAACCTAAATGAGTGATGGCTTCCTAATTAGGTTAATATTGGTCTGGTTGGTGCACACAAGGTACATATCACCGTTGTCGGAACAAAACCTGTTGACGTTTTTGACACAATCTGAAAGTGCCTGTAAATTTCGTGGTTAATGGACCAAAATAAATGGCCCAAAATTACTTGGGGAAAAAATCAGGTTCCATTGACTTACATTAAAAGTGTTTTTTCCTTCTCCTGTAAAGTTACCATTTTGGAGGTGTGAGGTTTTGTTCCGACAGCAGCAAAATGCAAAACAGACCCTATGAATTAGCTGAGTGTGTATTTCTCCCCTCTCAGTGTAAATTGGCCGTTGTGTGAACTTCGGTCCCACCCATCACAAGGCTGGTGTCACTTTGTCCAACAGCTTTTATCACAACAAAACACTCCTGCTTGAAAAGACTTGACTACTCGACTATCTTCAAGTCTGCACAAACTAGCGAGTGAAAGTCTGAACGTACACATAATGGAGCAAATCCATAAGCAAATATGGAAATGAGCAGGTGTTTTTAGGCGTGTAGTTTCTTTTTTTATTATTATATTAGAAAACCTCTCTCTGGTGCAGAACGTCTGTCTGATCTCAAACTCAGCACTGATACATTCATACCTGGAGTTGAACCATCCTGATTCTCCTCTTGTGCCGTTTTATAAAGTTCTGCTTTGTGCATCCGGAGGGATGTCCGTTTAACTCTATTGGTATAGAGGTGGAAAAACTGATTCTTAGATGCCTCACAGTTCTCTTGAAATATTCTGAATCAGTTCACAAAATGTCAGCATCCGATGTTTATGTAGGCTCTGCATTTCCTCTACTGTAAAAGAAACTCTTGTGCACCCAGAGGTCCAAAACCATAGTAAACATGACCCTCCATAAGGCCACACCTCAGCTGACAGGCTAATCCTGTAATCTTCAAAGTTAGGCTTTAAGTTTAAGCATTTACTGAAACTGTAGCATGGATATTAAAAAATATATATGTGTGTGTGTGTGTGTGTGTGTGTGTGTGTGTGTGTGTGTGTGTGTGTGTGTGTATATATATATATATATATATATATATATACTTGACTGTTAGTAACTTCAGATGTTCACATTTAGGCTAGAACTGCTAAAACTAGTATTAAAACTAATCAAGGTCGGTCAAGGCATAGCAGCATTAGACTGGTGCCAACATAACATTGAACATCTAATAAATAGCAGTCAGTAATACTGTAGCAGTGTTATTTGGATAAAAATGCTTCTCATAAAGATATTTCTACATTAAACGCTGCTAAATATGCGCATGATTATATGGCATATTTATTAATTTGCTTTTGAAATGAGTGAAACATTACATGCTTTACCTTGTTTATCTGTTGTACTGTGTTACCTGGCAGTGCTTCTCAATTCTAATCCTTTTTTCCCAACATTTTTGCTGAAGAATTAAACACTATGCTGTCAGAATAAGTGACATAAATAACAAAACAATCATATAAAATGTAGTTTTTTTTTTTTGTTTTGTTTTGTGTTTTTGTTTTTTTTTGTTTTTTAATTTGCCTTTACTAGACTTTTTTTAAGTTTAAATGTAAACAGCTGTCTGATCAGGAAATACAGCTGGATTTAAAGCTTGTTTGTCCTTCTTTCAAACTTTGATGGATGTTCAAAATAACCCTAAAGTTTGATGCAGCAGAGCATTTAATATTTTACACTTTATTCCCTTAGTCTTTGAAGTACAAGTCCATGAGATGCCTACAGAGTTCCATGCCACAGTCCAGGAGAAACCCTCAGTTTGCTAACAGACAGCATAGTATATGTAGGCTACATATTGATTTATTATCATTATTATTATTATTATTATTATTTTTATTATGTGTTGCGGTATTCGGTGTGGTATATTTTTTTATCGTGATATTTTAGTGTACAGTGCTGCTTGAAAGTTTTTAAACCCTTTAGCATTATGCAAACGTCTGTGTAGGTTTGCCCTAAAACGAGGTCAGATCTTCGTTTGAGACATAACAAAAGATGAAGAGAACCCAATAAAACAAATAACCTAAGCAGATTTATGTTTTTTTTTTAATTAATTTATTGAGCAATGTGATCAAACATATATTTATGTGAACCTCTAGAATTATCAGTTTGGTATTTGAGCTGAGCATCAACGTCTGGCCTTTACACACACATTTGTCAGTGCATGCCATGTCACAGTTAAAGGAGATTTCTGAGGACCTCAGAAAAACAGTGGTCAATGCTTTTTAGGCTGAAAGAGGTTCCAGAACAATATCTGAAGAGTTTGGACAGAATATTCAACACCTTATGTTTACTAGAGTGTGGTCATCCAACAAAATCGACTCCAAGTGTAAGGCATATAATAATCTGGGAGATCACAAAGAACCCCAGGGTAACGCCTAAGGATCTGTAGGCCTCTCTTACACTGGCTAATGACTGTGTTGATGTGTCCACCATCAGACAAACACTGGACGAGAATAGTATGTATGGAATGATAGCATAGAGGAAGCCTCTGCTCTCCAGGAAGAACCCTGCTGCCTGTGTAAAGCTTCCTAAGAACACCAGAAGAGTACTGAAATAATGTGGACAAAGAAGACGAAAGATCTTTATGGCCTAAATGAGAAATGTAATGTTATGGTTGGCAGAAACAAACACTGCATCCTAGCGCAAGAACCTCGTCCTAACCGTGAAACATGGTGATGGTGATGGCAGTATCATTATTTGGGGCTGTTTTGCTGCTTTTGGACAAGGACAGTTTGCCATCGTTTAAAAAAGGTAGTGTTTGTGTCGGCACTGGATTATTCTAATTTCTCTCTGCTGTAACCAACTGTACTTTTTTACAGTAGCAAAATCCTTCTAGGGTCAGAGATTCCCAAGCCTTGTTAAACAAACCACGTTTTCCAACCATCTGCTTTTCAATGAGTCAGCACCTTGCATCAGCGCCGGGGCAGCGCTGCGCGTGCAGTGTGGCACGGGCCTTTTCCCCACTGACTGTAAGCTGTGTTTTTTGGCAGGGAGCTTCTGAAAGGCCACCCTTTCTTCTACGTGCCTGACGTGATTGATGAGCTGAGCAGCAGGCACGTCCTCACAACCGAGCTGGTCTCCGGCTTCCCCCTGGACAAGGCCGAAAGCCTCACTCAGGATCTTAAAAACGAGGTTGGTCCAGTGCGATTCTGCTCAAAACGATGGTTAAAAATGTGAATATGTAATATAAAAACTAGTTGTGGAAGTTATTACGACTTTTTAATGCATATTTAATATTGATGGACGTCATTTTGTGGTTGAGAATCCTTAACCTAAAAACAAAAAATGAGGATTTAGATCACTCAGACATTGAAAATGGACAGTGTGACACACAGGAAGAATTTGTATTGCACTTTATTCATAGCATCAGCTTCCTGTTCCGTCACTCTTAGTAAAAGGGTTCTGTGTAGTACGGTTCTTTGACTAGCAATAATGGGAAAAGTACTTGAACTACTTTTCTTTTAAGGGTAAACTGTGTCTGTTTGACTTTTTTTTATTAAATAAACAAACATTAATTAAATAAATAAACACAGGAAAAAAAGGTACTCAATGGTCACTGTGGTGGTCACATGTCAGGTCACTGGGTTGAGGGTACCTTTAGTTAGGGAACATAGTTGTACCTTGTTGTTGTTGTTGTTGTTTTGTTGTTGTTGTTGCTGTATGGGTTGTTTTTTCCTGACAGTGTCCATTAAAATCCTTTATCCAGCTAAATGTAGCTAATCACCAGTAATGAGCATTAACTGCTTGGCACAGACGGCTTTGAGCCTTTCAAAACAATACATCGTTGCTGGATTGAAAGAAAATGTGACATCATGTATCTTAAAGTTATTAGAGTTTTTGTCTTTCATGTGAATAAAGACAGTCAGTTACATCAATTTCACGTTCAAATAACACCGATAACTGTATGAAACCCCCACCTACAGCTTTGTCTTCTATCATTTGTATTTAAATACAACTCACTCAGTTCAGAAACATGGATATCGTCACGTTTATGCCACCCACTACGCTTCCAGTGCCCTCCAGCTTGCCTGGTAGAGTTTTTTCAGTGCAGTGTCGCCACCTGGTGGTTTCATTTGTTAGTGAAGGCAATGCCCCAGAAGCTGTTTATCGTTGCAGCAGCAGCTTATAAATATTTTTCTCAAACTTGTTTTCCATCAGATCTGTGAGAACATCCTGACTCTGTGCTTAAGAGAGCTCTTTGAGTTTCGCTTCATGCAGACAGACCCCAACTGGTCCAACTTCTTCTACGACCCCCAAACCCACAAGGTAAGGAAGCCGAGGGCCGATTCTTCCCGTGTTCTGTAGTCAGTTAAGTTTAAAACCTACACACGTTTAAAATGAAGTGTTACTCAAAAGCACATAAGACAGGAGACAGAAAATAAGCAGGAATAAATATATGAGGATAATTATAATACAATAATACAACACTGGAACAGAAAAATCAACACACTGCAGATAAAAGCCTTAAAGGAGAATTCCACCAATTTATCAGATCTTATTCAGTTCAATCGTGATGTTAACGAAGTCGTTCAGAGTGGTTTGATGTAAAGAAATTACTGACTCTGATTTCTTTGATGGTGGTGGATAACAGGAGTGATGTCTACAGTACAAATATAGCCATTTCATTTACTATCCAAAATAATCAGTGCACCTATGTGTGTCTTCTGACTTTTTATATGTGGTGTTAATAACAGTAAAATAGTGGTAAATCTGGAAGGGGAAAAGATAAGTATTCATTGTTTTGCTGTACTACGCACCGTATGTACCTCTTACCACAGAGGTCATCTTGACTATTGTTAAACTATATTTAAGACATCAGGAAACACATTTGCAACTATTTCATGTGATAATGTACGGTAAGGGAGCGTTTAGAGCCAGATGAGTTTCTCTGGAGCGAAGCGTTTCACATCAGACCACTCTGAATGACTCGGTTCACATCTTAAAGACTTGCAGACATTTTTGACAAATTGATGGAATTCCACTTTACCAAAGATGCGCATAACAATTTTAAACATGCACTTTGTTAGTTGCTGTTATTCATTATTACACATGGTTTAATATTTATTACCTATACAGTATTACTTTTATATAGTGCTTTCGTGTGTCAGCTAAACTAGTCACTGTGGTCCGACTCTATAGACCGTTGTAGTCGTGTCGTCATTCTGTAGTCGGCGCTCTTATGCCCATATTAGGAACTCCGGGTCTGAGCTCCGTTTCTCCATGGCCAGAATGAACAGGGTTTTGTCCTGTGAACATGCTTCTCTCGAATACCACTGGATGACGAGGACTACAGAATGACGCACGACTGCAGTGGCCTATAGCTGCATTCCAAAGCCGAGGCTGCAGCCGAGGTAGTGCGGGTCCTCGGTAGGACTGTCCTGTGAAGACTCCTCCTTAGTAGCCTACTGGTCACCCAAATGGAACAGTCCTAATGAGACTGCGTGGTGACGCCACCAGAGTGGCGCCAAACTGGTGAGAGAAAATGCAGCCGCTGCATTGAGTTTGATGCTTTTTCATTTCTTCATGGAAAAGGAGGAGATGATCTTATGTAGTACGATAAACTACATATATACAAATACTTCTAAATAAAATACGATATATGGATGAATAATTGAATTAATCAGTCATTTTACACTTTATAAGGTAACGAAGACGAATTCAAGGACATGAACAAGCTCTGATATGACGGCTTCATTTTCCGCTATTTTCGTGGTGCTCCCTTTATATCGCTCGTGCGCAGAGAACTGTGGGTAACCGATTGTGGGGAGGTTACATCTGATGCATCCTTCAAATCACTCAGAATGTGGGCTGCATTTCTAGGCCGCTTACGAAGGATCCTTCGCTTTGGAACGGCCTGCTGTGATGTAGCGGCCGAGAAATGCAGCCTAGACTTTGGAACTCAGCTCATATTTAAGATAAGATAATCCTTTATTAGTCCCACTGTGGGGAAATTCTCATAGTGTTTCATCTTCAATCTGTAGGTTGCATTGTTGGACTTTGGCGCAACACGAGGCTTTGATGAGAGTTTCACAGATCTTTATATAGAGGTAAGCATGGATGGATTCACCGTGAATCATTTCTATTCAAATGCAGAATTAATTAACTGCTGATTTAGTGGTTGTGAATTATTATTGGTTGTGCATTCAGACAGAGAGAGCAGTACAATAGCATTCAAAAGTTTAGAAGTAATGTTTTTTTAATAATCTAACATTTTATTTTCTGAATTTATGCATTATATATTTTAATAATAACAGTAATGACAATATAAAACCAATTTGGTTGCAAATAAATGCACAGCTTTCAAATAATTACTAGAACTCTAGGAAGCTGAAAAAATAATTAAAAATTAAGAAAGGTATTAGATGAACAGCACTGTAAATGAGTCTAAATGACCAAAACATCTATATCCAGTAAGTTGCGATATAATTATTATTCTGATTTCAGCAAGTTTCAAGGCAAATAACCTTACAAACAAATATGTAAACAGAATTACTGTACATTATCATTTCATACATTCTTGTTCACAGAACTTTTGAAACATTAAACAAAATATCTAAAAAATACCTTTTTGCCGATAGTTTGTAATATTTAAAGAAACATTGTTTTATAGAACACAAAATAATTGTTTATGTGGTCAGTGATTCCAAAGTTTGGAGCGACAGTGTAGCTGGATGTACTTTATTGATCCCTGAGTGTTTTGGGTGCAGCACTAAATGTAAATACACATTATTAAAAATTTAATACAAGTTGTTTGTTGTAACAGATCATCAAGGCAGCGGCCGATGGAAACAGAGAGGCAGTGTTGAAGCGCTCTATAGAGATGAAGTTCCTCACAGGTTATGAAACCAAGGTAAGAACCCACCCCTTACCACATTTCTGAGCGACATCAGGTGCTGTACACACGTCTGACCTGGTCAATCCTCTGCTGTAGACTATGGAGAACGCCCATGTGGACGCGGTGATGATCCTGGGCGAGGCTTTCGCCTCGGGAGAGCCCTTCGACTTCGGCGCTCAGAGCACCACCGAGCGCATCCACAACCTAATCCCGGTGATGCTGAAGCAGCGGCTGACTCCGCCTCCCGAGGAGACCTACTCTCTGCATCGCAAGATGGGCGGCTCGTTCCTCATCTGCTCGCGTCTCAACGCCAAGCTGTGCTGCAAGAACATGTTCCAGCAGGCTTACAGCAACTACTGGAACGAACGGCAGAAGTCGCCGAGCCAGTGATCGACATCCATCGTCTGGCCGGTAGCGACGCAGCTTGTCGGGAGTAGGGCGGGGCAGAAACCCAGGCTTCTTGTGACTCGGCTCAAGAATGTAAAAACAACAGCACTTTCTTCCCGACCCCTACCTGCCCAAGCCGAAATCATAAACTTGACGTTTTTGGTTTGGTTTCGCTTTACGGGGTACATTATCCATTGATCGTGTGGCTTTTATGCTTTCGACAGCATTTGTCAGGTTGTCCTTCAGGTGGAGGCAGTGAGGCTGTATAACGTGCCAGGGAAACTAACCATCTTAGCTCTTTGCTCCTCGTGATGGGGATGTTTTGCTGAACGGGAGGAAATAAAATATGTTGATAAGAGTTTAGCTGCAAACTTGATAACACTGCCAGCAGGCCACGCTTGCAGCTTGTTGGATCACTTTTGACTTGTAGTTTAGCTACAGAACGTTTCGTTTGAATAAGTATGTTTTTTTTTTTTGTGTGTTTCACATATGATAACCGCACAAAAATGTAGGCTCATCCAGGCCTAAGTTGTATAAAGGGAGAAATTTGTGTAGAATATTACCGCCAATCCCTTTTTAGGTGTTTCTTCACCATCGTTTGAGAGATGCTTGTGTCAGCACAGATTTGGCCAAGCCAGAAAGTCTATTTTTGTACCCTTGAGGAACTGCAGAGGGCCAGCTTTCCATAACTTTCCATACATTTGTCTATATATGTGTAATAAAACTACTCGGCCGTGGACAGTGAAGTCACCAAAACCCTGAGACAGTGTTGGTGGAATGGTGACCACGTTGTCCAGCATTATTAGATCTATATTGCAGAATTTGCATGCATTAACTGAAAACACCATCACTAAAAAAAAAAAAAACCTGCTCCTAATTTCTGTTCTGTCTATTTTCATTTTTAAGTCCTGGTACATTTTGGAACAGCAGATTATTATTAGCAATGGCAACTTTTATGATGTGTGAATGTATGTGTGATTAAACATGTGCCTATAGTAATTCTAGGAGTCCTAGAACAGAGCATTAATCAGTCTTGCAACAACCTAATATCAGAACTTTTTGGGGGAGACAGTTTTTAATATTCCTATCAAAGTTATTACCAAAAGCTGTGATGATCCTGGAAATAAACTTTTTTTGATAAGACGCTTATGCATTAACGATCATGTGGTGTGTTTTATTTTATTATTTTATTGTTATGCAGTTACACAAATGACAGGCACACCAACCTTCAGCGGCAGCAGCTGCAGAGATGGTGATTAAACATGGTTATTACAGGGCTTTCAGTGAGTAATAACACTGTAATTGCACTTGGTGCATAATTGCACTGCAGAAACGTAAACAAGGATTCAACCTCACTAATTTGGAATCATTAACTGGCAGACAAGTTTAATCATTAGTCTTCCATCATCATCAACACCACTTCAGTCATTAATATGCACACTGGCCACTTTATTAGAAACACCAACCTTGTATGCTCAGCTTTTCAGTGTTCAGTTAGAGACTGTAGCACATCTGTTGCTGTCCACGGTCAGTTAGCCTTCCTCCAGCTCAAGTTCTGAATATGGAACCACACAACACTGAATTCAGACACAGTGCAGCTCTGCAGACTCAACATTGTTGCATGTGAGCATTGGGGCTTAACTAATGCTAAAACAATCATGCTACTATTTTAGCAGTTTCTTTGGAAATCAATATTCACAAAATAAATGTGAATAAAATAATAAAAAAATAACATTTTGAAACGTTTTTGTTGCTTAAATCATTTTTTTGTCGAGGAAAACAATAATAACAGGCAGCATTTACCATCATGCACCTTTACCTCTCCAATACCAGTCCGATGTTTCTTGTCTTAACAACTAATCGTCTTTAAAATGAGCTATTTTTAATTGAAATATGTCACTTCAGATGAGCATCTAGGCTCAAAATACTCTCACTGTACTACCCCTCAGGAAGAAATGCATAGCTAACAGCATCACAGCACACAGAGGCCCTTATTCATAAGTTTTGTTCATCACCTTCATCTTTGCCGATCAAACTCGTGTCTGGTAGAAATCTGTGTAAATTTGTGCGGAATTTTAACAGCATGAAAAACGCCTGCTTACAGTAAAATAAACAATTATTGTCAATAATATTAATAACCGTAAAAACAGAATAACAGTGATAACGCTAATAACAGAACAATCCTCAAGTCGATGTACTTTTCTAACACACACTGATATAAACAAACGCTGTGACTATAAGTTCCATTTAAAGACTTTTGCTTTATATTACTGATATAATAAACTACCTCCATAAAATACCACACACAGCTTACACAGTACAGAAGCTCATGTACTGCATTAATATCACACAGTGTTTATGAAAACAGTCACAACACAAATCTAAAAAAAAAAGTATATTTTGTTCATTTTTTTGTTCATAGAGCCGGCTTTATGTAACTGATATGTATATGAGGGCAAATTGGGGCGTGTCTGTTGCAAATGATATGTAAATAAGGTACTCGTGTGCTGCACTTGTTTCCACGCAATGAAGCCAGAGATGATATGTTCACGTGTCCTCTTTGCTGAAGCTGATTCATCTCTTGTTTCATTGACGACGGTTTCCTGTTTGTATGTCAGTGTTTCTACACAGCTATGGTGAATAAGGGCCAGTGTGAGTGAGTGATATTTCAGGCTAGATGTAGTTACAAGCATTTTCTGCTAAAAAACAGTGTCTCTACTAAAACCACGATCATCAGCTTCAATGTTGTACAGCTTCTCAATCTGTTAATGTAGTAGAGGCTCCATCATTTCCTCCAGCTCTCATGGTTTGAATTTGCAGATCACTTGTATTGTTGCAAGGCAGCCTGTATTTGGGCTATCGCTTGCTTATTTGCATTACACGAGAGCAGAAGACCTGGCACCGAGTCGTGGAACAGCACATTCACACACTCCACTATGTTTGGTTTAGCCGACAAAGTCCTGGGATTGACTCCAGTGTGTTCTTGGTCTTGTGTGTGGTGCATCACTACCAGTATGGCTGCTTTGGGACCTGTTCAAATAAGAAAACATCATGACATAAATACAGGTTTCACTTGTTCAGTCCTTCGTCAGATTGTATCTGTTATTCAGTCCCATATCACTTCTGTGAGTTACTGCTACAATTTGCATACAAAAAAACAGCTATAATAAAGCAATAAGCCACTTGAGGCCGTGGGTTACTGTGATTTTATCACGGGAAGGGGGCTGAAACTCCCTTCCCCATGATGAAATCGCAGTAACTCACTGCCTTGAGTGGCTTATTGCCTTTATAAAACAGCGTCCAACTTAAAATATATTAAAATGCACAGTGTTTTAGATTGTGTTTTTTATTAGCATTATTATTAATAGTAATGAACATAAACAAGTATTACGCCAAGAAATGTAGTTCCTTTAGAGTACGGTATTGTTGCTAAGCAACCATCGACTGCTGAATGAGGAGAAGAACGTTCGGTCGCCCGTCACTGTAAACTGCAGACATTTCATGATTTTCATGATGAACTTTTCTCCTATAACAGTGAACATATAATCACAGCACTGTTTAATGTAAATACTTTCAGTTTATAGTAATTTTATGTCACGAAATCACCACCGAGAGTCTTCTGCCAGTCTGACGACGCCACTTTTCTCACGCTGGGGCTGAATCTCAAACGGCTCCCTGCTCCCTGCAGCCCAACAGTGAATAATACAGCTGAGAATTTGGGATTCATCCACATTCAGACTCGACAGGGAGTCACTATTTGACAGCAGAAGCTAGAATTTCTTAATGTTACACAGCTCACTATTTAACCAGGAACCGTTTGGGATTCATTCTGGGTTTGACGCGACTTCTGACTGAAACACGGACATTTGAAGCGTGTAAAACATTCAGGTGACGTTCTTTAGACTTTATATTGCTGATTTTCAGTAAATAAGTTTTAACTGGAAATTAAATAAATGAAGGATGGTCTCTGACTTCTGCACAGCACTGTGTAGTGTATAATTTTCTAAATCTGTTTATTGTACTAGATGGGGTCACTAGATGATCCTGATTTCAGCACCATTTTCAGAGCTGAAGAAGAAACTGACTCAGATTTAACCTGAACTTACCTTGGATTTTCTGAATCGCGGCTTCGACGTCCGTTCCGGCTCGTGTTGCTATCGGACAGAAGACCAGAATGACGCTACAGTCTTCCAGGCTGCTCTCTTTCACTGGTTGCACAAGTCTGAGAATCGATCTGTGAGCATCCAGAGTATTACCACACACAAGTGAGTGGATTTTCACTGAAAGGAAAATAATCCACGACAGGAAATATGAATCCCCAATCTATTTGTGTAACATATTGTTGTGACACAAAAGTAATTTTGATTTTGTCCCTTTTTGTGGTTTTACAGTGTTGGAAAGTTAAAAGAATGAAGAAGCTCTAACTCAGAACCTGATGATGCATTTTTCTCTTTCCATAACTCACCAGGTTGGGGAGGTACACTGTATGAGGTTGGATGCGTCAGGTTTTCACTCGCAGAGTGTCTGAGACTCAAAGTCTTCGCAGATCCAGTTGCTTCTCTTTGTGCAGGAACGTGACTGAGATTCTCCAGTAGTTCAATGTGGGGTTTTAGGAAGTCCAGTGCAGCTGTGAGATGCTTTTCCAAGTCCCTGAGTGCACAAAGATACTCTCTCACCATGCTGTCCACAGCAGGTCCACCTGAAAATCACAGTGCAGAAAAGCCGTCTGGTGTGAGTTTGTATTAGGGAGCTCTTTATGACTGTGATGTCATCGTCTACTGTAGATGTCAAACAGCCTAAAGAACTCACTTCTGTCATTCCTTTCAATCAAATCCCTCAGTGCACCAACCAGTGTGGTGGCGTTTGGTTGCAGTGGCTCCTTTAGAGAAAAAACAAACGTTCAGGTTAAAAATGATAAAGATATACTGTGTCTTTAGAGGGGAATTCCACCAATTTTTCAAAGTTTCTGCGTAATTAAATGGTTTAGATGTAGACAAGTCATTCGGAGTGGTTTGGTGTGAAATGCTCCATTCTAGTGAAACATATTGAGTCACAACTGTTCACAGTAGTGGTGACAGGAACCAGACGTCTGAAGAGTTTAATGCGTCTAAAAGCTGCATCACTACATATGAGATGTTCATGAATATGTTGCTTGATGCCTGAGAAATTGTTTTACAACAGTTTTGAATTAAGGTTTTGGCCTAAGACATATGTTCCAAATGTGTTTGTAGCACTCTTATGGAAAAATACATATTTTTGACATATATTTTTGTATATTTGAAATACAATTTAAATACATCACATTGCAAAAAAACATTAAAATGTATTTCAGTAAATATCGCCATATAAACCAAATATATCTTTAAATAAAACTCTTTAAAAATATATATGGGGAAATGTTACACCTAGAAATGGACCACAGAACAAATAAATGTATGTGAATGTAAATACAGGTGAAAATGTATGAAATGCACTTTACTGTTTGAAATGAATTTGTGTTCCAGTATCTTAATTTCAAGTATTAGCAAATGAACCTTTAACAGCACCGTCTACCGCACACATACCTAATGTAGCCTTTTGTTATACCTACATACAATTTAAAAATATAATAACAAATACAAATAAATTCATTTTAAGATATTTTTAATACATACATTTTTGGCCATTTTCCAAATACATTTGGAACATATTTTTCCATATGAGCAGAGAAGTGCATGCAGGTTAATGTCAGGCAAAGCAGCACCAAAACACAATTAACTTACTTAATTACGGTCATTATCAGCTTTACATATAAACACTCAGAAGATAATGAGCTAGAATCAGCTAAGCAAGGTTCCTGTTTAGTTAGTTAGCTCCTTAGCTAGGCAGCTCAGCTAAAATATGTCATACAGTTATCTATTAAAGCACGTAGAGTGTACGTACATTAGCATTTAGTAATGCATTATTTGTAAAACGCAATCTATCCAACTTCAAAGAAAGCTGCGTTACGTTCCACACACACTGTAACAGGGCGTCAGGGTTACAGCTCAGACTACATTCATTTTATTAAGTAATTATATTATACTACAATGTAAGCGGGGTTTGAAAAGTACACTCAAAATCCTTTTAAGGTACACTATATGGACAAAAGTATTGGGACACACCTCTTCATCACTGATTTCAGGTGTTTCATTCAGTCTCATTGCCACAGGTGTATAAAATCAAGCAGCTAGCCGAGCAGCCTGACTTTACACACATTAGTGAAAGAATGGGTCTAAAGAGTCACTGAACTAGAGCGGGGTGCTGTGATAGATGTCACCACTGCAACAAGTCAGTTTGCGAAATTTCTTCCCTCCTAGATTTTCCATGATCAGCTGTGAGTGTATTATTGAAAAGTGGAATCACAGCAACTCAGCCACGAAGTGTGAGACCACGTAAAGTTACAGAGCGGGTCTCCGAGTTCTGAGGAGCGTAGAGCATAAAAGTCTCCAACACTCTGCTGATCAATAAACGCAGAGTTCAGACCTCCTCTGGCATCAACATCAGCACAGAAACTGCACCAGGAGCTTCAAGGCAGGGTTTCCATGGCTGAGCAGCTGCACACAAGCCTTACCTCACCAAGCACAACGGCAAGCGTCAGATGGAGTGGAATAAAGCGTCATCACTGGACTCTGGAGCAGTGTAAACGTATTCTGTGGAGTGACCAATCAGCTTCTCTATCTGTCAGTCTGATGGACGAGTCTGGGTTTGGCGAATGCCAGGAGAACGTTACCTGCCTGACTGCACTGTGCCAGTTGTAGAGTTTGGTGGAGGAGGGATGATGATATGGGGCTGTTTTTCAGGGGTTGATCTAGAACCCTTAGTTCCAGTGAAGGGGAATCTTAATGCTTCAGCACCAAGACATTTTGGACAACTGTACACTTCCAACTTTGTGGGAACAGTTTGGGGAATAACCTTTCCTGTTCCAGCATGACTGAGTCCCAGTGCTCAAAGCAGCTCCATAAAGGCCTGACTGGGTGAGTTTGGTGTGGAAGAACCTGACTGGCCCTCACAGAGTCCTGACCTCAACCCCATCAAACCCCTTTTGGATGAACTAGAATGGAGATTGTGAGCCAGACCCTCTCGTCCAACATCAGTGTCTGACCTCACAAATGCTCTTCTGGATGAATGGGCAGAAATTCCCACAGACTCTCTCCAACATCTTGTAGAAGCTTCCCAGAAGAGTGGAAGCTGTTAGAGCTGCAAAGGGGGACCAACTCCATATTAATGCCTATGGATTTAGAATAGGATTGATAAAAGCTCCTGTAGGTGTGATGTGTAGGTGTCCCAATACTTTTGTCCATATAGTGCATTTGGTGGAAGACAAGACTGTCATCATGTCACCCACTTTGGGAAAGCCAGTTCTAGAGGACACGCTGTAGGGGAGAATGTGATTTTTTTCTCTCCATTGCAGGGGCACCTTATCATGTTTTCTTGGAATATCAAGTTTATCCCATCGTGAGGGCACCTTTATGGCACCACATCATTTTCTCCACTGGGAACCAAACGGAAACTTCCCCACATTCTCATAAGTAAGGGACACCCTTTACAGCACTGCATCCCATTTTGTCCACTGGAGGGGCACTTCTCCATTAAAACAGCATCTAATTAGGAGTACCCTACACAGCACTGCATGCCATTTTCTCTACACTTGGGACACTGTCAGGTACGGGTGGCATGGAGGGCACTTCATAACAGCACCCTTTTCCATTTGAGGGGCATCCTTAGGGAATATCAACGTTTAAACCATTGTAAGGACATTTTATAGGCCACTGCATCACGTTCTCTCCACTAGAAGGGCACTTTCCTGCTCTAGAGAGCACATGATCATGAATTATTGTACGAAGGGACACCCTAGTGGGCACTTTGTCAGGGCACTTCGGTGACATCTTGTTAAGCATGGGGCAAAGTGCAAAATATAAGTCCAGGATCCCCTAATTAACCTCTTGGACCGACTGAATGTCTCCAAATCTAAATTCTGAGGGGTCACTGAGAATAAACTAATTATGAAGTTATGCTGTTCGTCAGGGAAAAAACACTTAAATATACATTCAGGGAGAGGTCACTGTTTATCTGCTTCACCCACAGTCAGTGAGTTTCTGTCCTTGGTGTTCTTAACTAACCGGAGATGCAGCACTGCTCTGCCTCAGGGTGGCGCTGCAGCAGATTGGTTCACCCAGTTGGTCCTCAAATAGCCTAGCAAGTATAACTATGCCTGGGATACCTCGGACAAACTTTACAATGCCATAACGCAGGGCTTCTTAACCTTTACCACCTCAAGGCCCACGCATTTGTCTCAAGTAAGCATGAAGCCCCACAAGAAGACAAAAATCAGCTTTTTTGCTTGAAAACTTCATTTATGGCAATTCTTTAGCACAGTATGCAACATGCATCAGTGAACATAAAAGTTTCCATTTGGAAACATTTTATAGTATTTTTTTATTGTTAAGTCAATTGCCCAGCATTGACCACTGGCACCCCCCCAGTATTGGCCTGAGGACCACCAGAAGGACCACCAGAGGCCCTTGTGTGTGCCAGTGGATGAGAAACCCTGCCATAACATATCTGTACATCTGAAAACTCGTCCAATTTTCCAAGATATTGGTAGAAAAAGTGAATTGTTACTCATTTCCCAAACTAAAGACAAAATAGGAGAACAATAAGATCTCGATTAATGTGTGAAAGAGCGCATCAACAAACTGGGAACAGTATTTCCAAAAGAAGAACTGTTAAACCAACCGTTTTGTTGTCATTGAAGCATCAGCAGCACTAAGGCGAGCGAGTTAGCAGCTAGTCAACACTGGAGTAGCCAGCCAGCATGGGACCCCCAAATACCAGGGGGTACTTCACATACTGACAGGGGGGCACAACGAGGCAGAGTGGTCACCCCCTAGCCAACCCCCACACCTGAGTCCGCCAGTGATAACAATACTAATTTTTTTTTTTTTTTTTTAATTACAAAATCTTTAAAAGACTGGAAGGACAAAATAAAAAAGTAAGAATATAAATAAAAAATGCTACAATATAAAAAATTATAAATAAATAAAAGTAAACATTTTTACACTGTAATGATATTTGGGAAAAATATCTTAACAGTGTAAATATTTTTGCTTTTATTTATTTATAATTCTTTATGTTGTTAATTGTGCAGGATAGAGTTTATATTTTCTTATTTTTTACTTTTAGTATCTTATATTTTGTCTATAAAGTAACAAGTAACAGACTGTAAAAACCTTGTTAAGTACTTAACAAAGTTAATTACTTGCTTGTTAATTCTCTTCTTGTTACTTCTTCTCTTTTTCTCGAGTGTCTTGCTCTCCCTTTGCTGCTGTAGCACTGAGAATTTCCCCAATGTGGAACTAATAAAGAATGATCGTATCTTATCTGATCTTATCTGATCTTAAACCGGTCTAATATTAGCACAGCTGCGAATAACAGAGGGAGTCATATACTAGGAAAAAGGTATGAAGTGTGATTTTGCTCTCTTATGCAGTGTCCCGTTTCATCTTTGACTCACGTTTGTTTATATGAGGTTCTCTAAGCGCCGCAGTTCATCTCCACCACGGTCAGTGTGATTTACCTGAGCTGCCAGCTTACCTGCGCTGCCTCGCTGACCATCTGCATGATCTTTCTCCGCAGCTGGAAATTCTCAATTCCAGGAAAAAGTTCATTTAAATCCTCCCTCGTCAGAGTGAGCAGCTCTTTGTCATCAACTCCTGCACCTAGAGAATAAACAGGGTTTTTAGATTCAGCAGATTTACAGCTCATGTATTTAAAATCAGCTGGTCTTTAGATGAAGAGTCTCTAACAGCGACCTCACCGCGCAGCGCCGGCTCTACTGATCCAGACAGCCGCTCTATCCTCTCTCTCAGCTCCTTCGCCACGAAACAGAGGAGTCAGCATGTTTGTCACTGAAACAGCAGTCAGGTGTAACAGGCATCACCTCAGACTCAGACTCGCTTACCTTTCTCTTACTGGAGTTATTCCACATGTTTGAAGCGGGTTGAAGTCAAACGGACTCTTCGCTGAAACAAAGTCTCATTTATTCAATAATGAAACCGAAAGTTCGTTTCACACCGGCTTTACGCGTCTACTCGCGTTTACTCGACCAGTCAGATTCAGTGAATCGCTCCTGGACGAGCTTTGGGTGGAGGAGGAGCTAATATGGGCGTGGCTTATCGTGGGCGGGGCTGTAAATATTGCTCCGCTTCTCAGTTCCGCCGTCTGAGCTGGTGGGAGCATATCATTTTTGCTTCTGTATAATAATAATAATAATAATAATAATAATAATTCGTAATTATTGTTATGTAGGCTACATTTCTATGATCCATTACAATAAAAAATAGGCTAATAATAAACTTTACTAGAAAATTGTTTCAAGTTTCAACAAACAAAGTAAAAGTAAAAATACAAAGAAAATATTGAAACTGAAATATATTGAATATACACAAAATATAGAGACAGGAGGGACCTATGTAAGAAAAAAACCCTCTCTGCTGTGCAAATATATTTATATTTAACAAGGGATAATCTGTTAAGAATATATATTTTAAAGTGACTCAGTGTTATTGTTATTTAAAGTGTTATTGTTATTGTCCATAGCAGAGATATGATATAATAATAATAATGCTGACAGAGTGACTGAGTGAGATGGTAGTTGGGGAAGGACCCACAGCTTCACAGCTTGTTCTGATGCCTGACAGCCTGTGGGTAGAAACTGTTCCAAATTGCAAGCACGGTTACTTATTTTGGAATAAATTGATATTTTACTCAAAGAATGTAAGTTTTCAGAAAACACAAAAAGTGTAAACTTAATACAAAATGGATTTGTTGATTCTCTTAGTAAAGGCAAACAACCAGTACATGGTACATGCGGAAATCATGACAAACCCTGGCAAATAATGGTAAAATTAGAGTCTACAGCTCAACAGTTTTAGTGACACTAATATTTTAATTGTAAGTAAACTCAGTCCATTTAAATGGGTTTCTGCCACTGCATAAACTGCAGTAAGCCGGCACAGGAGAATGGAGCTCACTCATTATTGGTTAAAGTTATTTTCCCTGCCGACTGCAAGGTGACAAGGCCCAGTCCCATTTCACCCCTCGCCCCTACCACTTAGCCCTTAACCCTCCATTTGGCGCATTTTCATCTAGGGGTAGGGGGTCCCGATTCTTGTTGAGATAGAGGGGGAGGGCGCAGTGTTAGGCCCTCCAAACGGAGGTTTCAGAGGCAAACTACAAACTCTGGGAGTCCAGAGAGGCCATGAGCTGTTATAATATTCTGGATTGTTATCTTGAGATCACAAGACATTTTACTCATTATCTCAAGATAACAACTTTGTTATCTCAAGATAACAATATAATTAACTTGTTATTTCAAGATAACAACTTTGTTATCTCGAAATAACAATTAACTCATTATTTCAAGATAACAACTTTGATATCTTGAGATAATAAGATTACTAACTTGTTATCTCAAGATAACAATCCAGAAAATTACAGCTACCTCATGGTCTCTCTGGACCTCTGTACCAAATGGAGTGTTATGAGGAAAAAAAGGAAAACCTGTGCAAGAGATCAAAGGAGAATTTTCTCTGTTAAAAATTACAACAACCATTGTATTGTTTTAGTTTGATGTCGTTTTAATGTATTTTGGTCCTTTTCTTCATAAAAAGCATTAAAATTTGCTAATAATATGCTAATTTCTCGGTACCTAGCTGGCTTAATTTCACATTCCACCTTAAATAGTCCAGCAGTTCTGATGACTGAAGTGCCAGAATGTAACTGCTGCTCCATTTAAGGCGGAACAGGAAATTTGAACAAGAATCTGGTGAATATCTGACTTCAGCTTCATATCACTGAAGAATTAGGGGTGGGTGATAATAAATAATTGCCCCCCCCCCTCTTTGAAGATCATATGATGCCCTAAATGTAACTAAAGCCCAGCAGTGAGGAGCTGAACTTTACCCTCCTTTGCTGTCACTGCAGACTGGCAGGGTCGCCTACAGAGCAGCGCTGGTAGCTGTTAATGAAGTGATGCTCTTTTTATCTGAGGGTCTCATTTCAGAGGGAAGATTTCAACCACTACCCTGTAACTCAGTTCTGAGGGTCCACACTCAAAAACAAGGGATAGGGGGAAAAAATAAGAAATGGGACTGGGCCCAAAAGTCAGAAGACATTTTAGAGGCGAGCAAAGGTTGATACAGTTTGATCAAAGATTGCAGGAATACAAGAATTTTATGTTTTAAATGACATCTATGATACTTAGTATGGTCAGGGACATGAATTTATGTGGTAAATAAAGTCAATTTTGATTTCAAGTGAACTTTAAAAAAGAATTTAAAAAAAAAATGTTTGTGGGGTACATGTGATGTTTGTGTGTCTATGCAAAGTGCCGCTATTGTGCCGTTAGAACAAACACAACGCACAAAAATAATAAAGATTGTTCCGTTATGTATTAAGAGTTTTACGTTCTACATGTTTTATTATGAATTTCAATAGTAATGTATGCCTTCTATTGCTTTGAAGCGCTTTGAACTGAACTGAACTAGTCCCTACGTCATTGCATGCCTGGGCTGGGCTAAAAAATGGGTGTGGCCACGTGTTTAACCACGCCCCCGTTTTCAGTGTGCGTTGTTGAGCGTAGTTCCTTGAATTCATCCGCGGCCTTAAAAATCAGGCGGAGGCCAAAGAGCGCCTCGTTAACTGATACCAGATCAGCCGTGAGCGGCGAGCTCGCAGCGCCTGGGCGTGTCGGCAGCTGATCTCGGATCAGCCGCGGTCCTAAAACACACGTAGAGCTCTCACGGCCCGGTTTCGTCGGTAGCTGAACTCGGATCAGCAGATGGGAGCCGCGAGCTCCCTTTTGGCGGGAAACGTCCGCCCCCTTCAGCGGGGACGAACCGAGCGCGAAGCTCATTTGCTAAAGCGGCTAGCGGGGGGTGGCCACGGCCGTGAGGTAAAATTTCCCCTCAGAGGACGAGAAACGCTGTGGCTAAACTGCTCTTCTGTTTATTCCTCTTACATTCGCTCGAAGAGGACTTAACCCGGGTCAGTCATGGCTGGTCGGTCCGTCTGTTCGCGTCGTCCGTTTGTCACAACTCGGTGAGAAGGAGGGAAAGAGAGCCGAGCTCGTCGAAGGAGAGAGAGAGAGCGCGCGGGGGGGAGGTAGACATGTCATGAAGTAGCAGCGAGCTAACCGTCAGAAAAAAAACAAGAAACAACAAAAATAGCAGCCTCGTCTCAGCGAAGTTGTAACTCACCGTAAAAGTACATGCCGACTCTGTTTGGAACATTTGTTTTTCACATTTGGGAAGATCTGTTTTTTCGCCGTTTTACCTCAGACGTCCTTTTAGGCTGGAGAGGCTGACAATGATGGTGGCAGCGGGGCTTCTCGCTGCAACACAGCGTCGGTGCTGCTGCGCTGAATTGGACTTTTGAGCTGGGTTTTCGTGCAACGTTACCCCCCGTCTGCACCACAGATTTTCCCAGTAGGCTTAAATATATCGAATTTGTCTCGGTGACCTACCCGACTGTATGTTTTCTTTAGGCTAGTGAAATATGAACTGGTTAACTGTAGCATAGAGCAGACATCGTCAGGTATCGTTACACTGCACCGACAGCAGCAGTGATTCTGAAGGAATTCGCTGTTTGGACTCGCCTCTCCTGTGTTTAATGCAGTGGCTCCATTGCGTTATTAGACTACCAGTCTGTCCATCCCCGTGTTGAGTTGTGAAGCATAAGACTAGGGCTCGCCTCCAAGGTAACATGTCTGCCATGTATGTGGCCAGCAAGAGGAAAACCTCAAGGCCACAAATGAAGGCCCAAATACCAGGTAAACACACATGCGACTTGATGGTCATGTTGAACCTTGCATCTAACCCTGACTGTAACTCAGAAACTCATGCTCTAGCCCATCACTTGCTCAGTATTTAATATGAAACAAACTGAAAAGTCTTCAAAATGAATTTTCAAATGATCCCTTTATTAATATCTCATCAGAAGTCTCAAAAATAATGGAGAGAGAGGTTGCGGCGGGTGGGAGTGTAACATCCATGGTAAGATCAAACCTCACCTTACCTTGGGCACAAACAGTATAATGTATCTGCTAATCATTAAGCTCACATTAAGGTTAAGGCTCAGTCCTCTTTGGTTTGACTCTTTTTAGTACCCCAGCTGTTTTGTCAGAGTTCGGAATATGTTGAATTCTGTGTCCATCCATTTCCATAATTCTGTATTCTTGTATCTTAGAGTGAGGAGACAAGCTCCCAAAAGATAAAGAGAACATATGGCAGAAAAAAGTGAGTGGAAATGCTTGATACTCTAAGCTTTTGATAGATAATTATAGTCAGGGTACTATACATTACATTATCTGACGCTTTAACACACCGAAGGCAGATTACAGATTTCTCTTAGACTATAACATCATAATAGACTCAGACTCCCTCAGAATCATTTGCATATATCCAGTTTGGCCACAATTTGATATGTCTACATTACTACATTCATGTTATCCTGTACCTCTCCAGGTATTACGATCTTCAGCCAGTAACCATGGGTTCCACAGAAGGGGCATCATCGTGCTCTTCAGTAGTCCATGCCAATTTAATGAATGGATCTGAAGGTCAGCCCGTCGCCACTGGTCATGCCACTACATCCATAATGGAGGGAAAAGTTGGGTCCAACGTAGAGATTATGAGGGAGACAGGTGAGCAGCAGATTTCAACCAACAGCAAAACTGATGACAAACACAGCACAACTTTTGAAATAAGTCAAAATTCCATTGCATATATCTGATTAATTGAAGTGCATAGAAGGCACAGTTTACCTTTTGCTAGGAAATATGCTGGCACAGGTTTGTCTGAAGATGAGTTGCAAGAATCAGAGACACATAATCAGCCTGTATCCTGCACAAATAGTTTGGAGAAAGCTGTACAGGTTCATAATAGATTGGTGTTTCACTTGAATTACAACCCCATTTCCGAAAAAGTTGGGACGCTGTGCAGAATGTAAATAAAAATAGAACGCAATGATATGCAAATCATGTAAACCATATTTTTAAAGGAAAATACTACAAAGACAACATATCAAATGTTGAAAAGATTACATTTTTGAAAGTGAAATGTTTTCCTGTTCTTGTTTGATATTGGATTTCAGCTGCTCAACAGTTCAGGGTCTCCTTTGTCATATTTTTCATTTCATAATGCGGCAACTGTTTTCAGTGGGTGACGGGTCTGGACTGCAGGCAGGTCAGTTTAGCTCCCAGACTCTTAATACGGAGCAATGCTGCTGTAATACATGCAGAATGTGGTTTGACATTGTCTTGCTGAAATAATCAAGGTCTTCCCTGAAAAAGACATCTGGATGGCAGCATATGTTGCCAAAACATGTATATATCGTTCAGCATTAATGTTGCCTTCACAGATGTGCACGTCACCCATGCCATGTGCACTAATGCTCCGCTACACCATCATGAATACTGGCTTTTGAACTGTGCACTGATAACAAGCTGAGTGGTCTTTATCTTGGAGGACACAGTGTCCATGATTTCCAAAAAGAATTTCACAGGACACTTTTCCGCTTCCGATCAGTCTATTTTAAATGAGCTCAGGCCCAGAGAAGGTGGCAGCATTCCTGGATCCTGTTTATGTACAGTTTGTGTTTTGTGTTTTAGAGTTTTAACTTGCATTTGTGGATGCAGTGATGAACTGTTTTCACAGACAGTGGTTTTCAGAAGTGTTTGTGAGCCCATGCAGTGATTTCCACTACAGAATCATGTCTGTTTTTAATGCAGTGTTGCCTAAGGGCCCAAAGATCACGGCCAGCAAATACTTTCACAGAGTGGTGAACCCCTCCTCATCTTTACTTCTGAAAGACTCCGCCTCTCTGAGATGCTTTTTGTTATTGACCTGTTGTTGATCAATCACCAGGTGATTTTTTAGCATTACACAACTTTACCAGCCTTTTGTTGCTCCTGTCCCAACTTTTTTTGGAACGTGTTATTGGCATCAAATTTAAAATGGTTATATATTTTTCAAAAAACAAAATTTCTTTGTACTATTAAACCCTATATTTAATTGAAAAATGATTAACAAATCATTGAATTTTGGTCTTATTTACATTTTACACAGTGTCCCAACTTTTTTGGAAATGGGGTTGTATATTATTATGGCGGTAGCAGTACAGCAATTTGAGAAGTTGTATTATATCCTTGAGCCAGATATTTAACCTTAGGATAACAGCATTTTGGCTAATGCTAGTTACTTTGGACAAAAACAAAATGCATCAGCATGCTTTGCTTGTTTCTTGAATGTTTCTTTCTGGAACAGAGTGTCAGCCCTGCCTCGTATATACAGTCACTGCTTTTTTTCCAATGCCATCACCTAAACTCCCAGTAATTTGCTCAGTATATATATTTAGATTTAATGCATGGATGAAGCATACAACTGACTGCTTGCAAAATTCTGATAACTCCTACCAATAACTCCATTAGCAACTGTTGCTGTGTCCATCAAACATTCAGCTTGTGCCACTGGGTAGCATTTGTAGCGCTTCAGCAGCACAAAGAAAAAATTAGAAGCACACAGAAGAGTACCTCTGAAAACATTTTTGTTTAAAAATAAAGCTTTACAGGATGTTCAGTGCAGACATTCATGTTTGAGAATTGACAGAATATGAAAAGACCAATTTACAGCAAAAAATCATTATCACTTTGTTAAAGCTGTAGATTTACTTGTCTGATAAGGAGAAGGTTTAAACAACTGAAGCTGTCAATTCTGTCTGAGAATGCTGGTGAATCTGAACTCACATGTACAACATCACTTTCTGTCGTGTCCAGAGTTTGAGATGAAAAAGAAGCGGAAAATGGAGGAAGTGGGCCAAACCTCGCTAAAGAAGTATATTGAGGAAGTGAAACAGACAGGTATTCATTATTTCATGCCTTGCTTAATATTTCTAACACGTTCACTCTGTCTGACATTGCTGTAAATTATTTAATTCAAGTTAAAAGGATAAAGTTATCAGACCCTTTTCAAAAAGGTTTGTTACAAATTTATGGGCAACATTTCTCTCCTACAGTGCCTGTCATAGTTCCTGTAGCACAGTATACACAGAGGAATCTGGCGACTAGCAGTGCTGTGGCCCAGAGTTCGTTTTCCTACATGAAGAAAGAGGCTCCAGTTTATCCTCCAGGTGAGGGAAATGATCATGGAATGTTTTTAAAGTTTTTAAAGATATATTTTTACCCAAAAATGCTGCTGTGGCTAAACATACGTGAAAACTAAGGGTGACCAATTAGCATGAGGTTGTGCGGTTGATGTAAACAGTACACGTTACATCCTTTACCTGGCGAATATGAGTGTGTGCAGCCTGTCTAACGCTTGCTGTCATTATGTATTCTTAGGTGAAACCTAGGGTTAGACTACGTTCCCGCAGCGGGTAAAAGTGGCCTAAGTCTGATTTTCTCACCAAATCAGATTTTTTTGTTTGTCTGTTCAGATTATCTTTTAAATGTGATCTGTATGGGTCATCAGTCTGAACAGATCAGCTCCTAAACTGAGCCGCATGCGCAAAAGAACAGAGCGTCACGCTGCTTCACGGCTCATCCAGAGGTAAACAATCACGACCGCCAACGAACGCCAGTCACTCCCGGAGGATCAGCTTCATCTTCACCAGCATCACAGGAGCCATCATGAAGCTTCACTGACTGACAGCTGGGCTCATCACCCAGAATGTGTTCAGCTCGCTGTAAAAAGGGCGCGGTCACTTCTTTGGTTCGCGTCCTCGGATTCTTTAAACTTTGCTTTCAGACTTTTAACTGTTCTTTGACGGTGCAGCTTTGTTCTCCTGCAGCCGCGTTCGGACATTTCTTTTTGAACACGGAGGGGTTTTGATAAGTCTTTACTTATATTTGGTACAGAAACGTCAGCACAAACGTTTATGAGTCTCAGCAGCGCGGAATTATGATGTATGTCGAGTTGGATTGGTGTAAAAATCGCATGAATTTTGATCTAGAGTCGTATTGCAGCACATCAGATATGTATTGGATTTCAGTACCACATATGAAAGCATCTCAAATCAGAATTGAAAATGTCAGATTCAGTGTGTTTATCTGTTCACACTGACATACAGACACACATCTGTGTCACATATGAAGAAAAAGATCGGATTTGGGCCACTTTTACCTGCTGTGTGAACAAAGCCTCATTTTCCACACAGGTGGTGTAAATTAATTGAAGGTTTATGAGGCTGTGATTAAGACAGTGTTATTTGGTATATTTCGGCAGGAAGTCAAGAGGAGAGATGGCAGCTGCAGATTCTAGCTAAGGGCAGAGTCACGTGCCCCAAATGCAAAAGTGTTGGGAGGAAAACGGTGGAGGGCCTGAAGAAACACATGGCGGCCTGCAAACTGGTACCTGAGTGCAGTAGTGCTTACTGGAAACCATGTACCAATGAATGTCCATGCGTTGTTTAAGCAGTAGAACCCGAGAGGGAGAGTGTTATCGTGAAATAACATCACAGCTGTGATTTGGTCGCCATAGATCATCACAGCCGTGATGTTATTGGCGATAACACACTCCTCGAGTGTTCTATTGCTTTTATACAACAGTTAAATAAATGAAGTAAGAAATTAATAAACTGGGTCGTGAACGTGACACTTAATATGTTTTAATATTAGCTGTTCCTTCCGCCAAATTATAGTTCCTTAACAAGCAGCTTGTTGCTTTGTCAGAGTAACGAGCTCCGCCCACTCGCTGCACAGCCGGCAGTTCGTTCTCCAGCTACTTACACTAAATTCCCAAACTGTCATCACCACTGAGCAGCTTTTCAGTCGGCAGCTGAGACAGAAGAACAGCTAAACAACCTGGAATCAGCCAGAAATGAACCCAATACCATTCGCCAAACGTGGAGTCTGATCTTCAGAGTCTGACCAAATCAGACTGAGCCATAAAATTGCCGCAATATCAAGTTCAGCTCAGTTTTGTCAATTTTTGCCAGATCAATATTAATGTTGTTTTGTTCCAGCCAGTCTGTAAAGCATCTTACAGCCCATTTAGTTTGGTGAATGGTGTTGGGTTCATTTCTGACTGATTCCAGGTTGTTCAGCTGTTCTTCTGTCACAGCTGCCGACTGAAAAGCTGCAGTTTGGGAATTTAGTGTCGTCTCATCTTCAGAGTCTGACCAAATCGGCTGTCGGTCAAATGTGATCTTAAAAGTGTCCATTTTCTGTTTGTGGCAAAGTAAAAAGTGAAAACATTCAAATGTCTTGAGCGTCTCCTACAGCTGTCAAAGTCGTTGCTTAGCAACGGCATCTCGGCGGAGTGATACAGTGCTTGTGAAAAACCGTGCTGTTATGGCAAAAAATGCTTAGAACACTTCTCAACCAATCAGCTTGCGTGGCCGGAACTAACCGTTGTATAAACAGTTATCAGGAGCTTTCTGTTACTGAAACTGATTTGGTTCTTTATTATCTTAGCATTATTTCACATGTCAGCATTGTGGAAAACAACTGAAGACCTCAACTGGGATGAAGTACCACCTCATGGCTGACCACAATAAGCTGGTGTGTTTTTTCAGTTGATTTTTTATTTTATTTTAGAATACCTTAGATATATAAATGATGTTTTATGGTGATGATGATTATAATGATGATAGTAGTAGCTCAACTGAGACTGTAAGTCTTGACTTACCTGTAATGTTGTGGTTTAGCCCACCCCAGAAGACGGGAATGGATTCGATGACCAGGCAGTGAAAGAGAAATTAAGAAAAGTGTTGAAGAGGCTGGGAAAATTAAAATGCTCAAAGGAGGTATTCACTTGTGACATGCATCACATAAATAGAGAAAGGCTGAAAGATAAAGAACACTTGTTATTCTGTCGGGATACAGTTGTATTTAAATTTTCTACTTATTAAAGCCAGATTTCACAACAACAGTGTATAAGTCCCAGCACTGAATTGTGAGTGTTTTAGCACGTTATCAACAAAATATAATTCAGTATTTCAGCGGTCAAGATTCAAGATACTTGGTCATTGCACAGAGTACAACGAAATTGGGCAACAATCTTAATGGTGCATAAATGAAAAAGATTAAACTAGGAATAAAACAAAAATATAAACAATTCTAAAATATACAATGCAAGATATTAAAGGGAAGACTATAATTTAAAATGTTAAAAAATAAATAAAAAATAAAGGTATAAAATTATATAAAAGTAAAATTTAAAAAATGCATAACCGTGGATATAAAAGTGTGTAGCAGCTGTGATAATGCATGCATGTGGATGGTAGTGTTTCTATTTACAAATAGTGCAGTTTAATAATAAATACAAAGTGCAAATGAATGTAAACATCTTTAATATCCCTTGAATATGTTTTGGAAAGGTGTGGATGGCAGTGTACAATGTCAGCATTGGGCAGTGTTCAGTTCTCTTATTGCACTGGAGTAGAAGCTGTTCCTAAGTCTGTTCTTAATCCAGTACAATAAATGATCAGCTACACAGTCGGGTTTTGTTCATTTATAGTTCACAAAAAGTCATACTTAAGCGATATAGCACGAGAGGGAGTGTGTTATCGCGAAATAACATCCCGGCTGTGATTTGGTCGCCATAGATCATCACAGTCGTGATGTTATTGGCGATAACACACTCCTCAAGTGTTCTACTGCTTTTATACAACAGTTAAATAAATAAAGTAATAAATTAATAAACTGGGCCGTGAACGCGGCGTTTAATATGTTTTAATGTTCGCAGTTCCTTCACCAAATTATAGTTCCTTAACAAGCAGCTTGTTGTTACGTCAGAGTAACGAGCTCCACTCACAGCTGTAAAACTGCCACAATATCAAGTTCAGCTCAGTTTTGTCACTTTTTGCCAGATCAGTATTAATGTTGTTTTGTTCCAGCCGGTCTGTAAAGCATCTTACAGCCCATTTAGTTTGGCGAATGGTGTTGGGTTCATTTCTGGCTGATTCCAGGTTGTTCAGCTGTTCTTCTGTCACAGCTGCCGCCTGAAAAGCTGCTCAGTGGTGATGACAGTTTGGGAATTTAGTGGAGTCTCATCTTCAGAGTCTGACCAAATCGGCTGTTGGTCAAATGTGATCTTAAAAGTGTCCATTTTCTGTTTGAGTGGGTTTAGGGAAATTTTGGGGATGTTTTTACAGAAAAAAAAACATGGTTGTCTGTTTACTGCCATTGTTTACCAGCAATCTTAGCCTCGTAGCTCCAGTACTAAACCAGTTTTGCCAAAATTTGGCTTACGAACATGTCTTGGCTGATTAACTGTGTCTGGGATCAGAGGAAAATTGTATAAATATGATTTCTTTTCCAAAACATTCCTTTTAACAGTGTGTGAAATAGTTCAACAGAGCAGCTTATTTGACAGGAGGATATAATTGAGGTTTTTAACTAATTAAACACAAAATATTTTACTGAAATGTCTTTACATGTAATGTTATCTCATTTGTGTATTTGTACATGCCGTTTTTTGCTGCAGGGATGCACTGGCAGCTTCACCAGTATAATGGGCTACGTGTACCACATGAAGAAATGTGGTAAGGAGGAGTCGGAGCTGGAGAAGCTTCTTATGAACTGCAAGCACTGTGGGAAGCCTTATCGCTCAAGAGCAGGCTTGGAATACCATCTCAAGTCTGAGCATGGACCGGTGAGCCGCCTTTTATAGTTCATACTAATTGACCAGAGAATTAAAAAAGCTGCAATCTACGTTTGAAATAACTTACATTTACTATAATCACAAAAAACACATCTTTCTTTAGCATTGCTTGTAAAACAAAAATAATAATGGGTCATTCTACAGAAACGTCCACTTTTCTGTCTCTCCATAGGAGTCACTGGTGTTACTGATCCTCATTGGTGTTACACATAAGAAAGGTAACACCAGAGACATTTTTAATGAAAAATGCATTTTACAGAATGGCTGCTACAGAATATCAAACCACATGCTGTCAATCATGGAATATCCACTAAAATATGTAATTTAATCCATTTGTATTCTATTTTTTCACAATTACCTCAGAATAAAGTCGGTCACACCAGTGACTTCAGCTAAAAGCTTCATATGAAATCATGAGCTAAATGAGAAAATCTCTGATAACTGAAAGACACAGTGGACTCACCATGTGCTTTTCTTCATAGATCCTCAGAGAACAGGTGAAAGGAAGTCAAGTGATGTCATCAGTGTGACTTTTATTTCAAAATAAGAGATTTTTTGTTACGCGGTAACACCAGTGACATGACTCCTGGGGACAACTTTCATTATACATTTTATAATATTTATTTGGCATCTGTTTTCTTTGTCATTTAATTTATGTATTTCATAGTTATGTATAGATTATTGCAGTTAAAACTGTGGAAAAACGTTTTTTTTTACCTCAAAATATGGCCTCGACCTTTACACGTGACTGTGAGGAGGAGCTCTTCTGTGATGCTTGGAATTCTAGATAATTGATTTAAAAACCAATATTGCTAAATTGATGGATCAGGAAGGTGTAACTGTTAAAATAACTAATTGTTTTATTCTGAAGTATAAATAAATTGTATTCCTAACATGTTTCTCAAGTGTAATATATCTGTAAATGCTAGGGACACAGAAATGGACGTTTCTGTAGAATGACCCTAATCAAAGCTTTGAATGGCAGTCACCTTCAAATGTACTCTTACCTGAGCTTATTTTAACTGCATTGTATTATTGCAATAACCATGGTGCAATGGTTGGTTAGTAATGGCAACTTCAGGAGCCACGGAACGGTGTTCCTGACATGGGCTTAAAAATGTTGCTCTTGATCACTGCAGGCGTCTCAAGTGGCTGCAAACGAGGAGGTCAGGGCTCAGATGGAGCCCAACACAGAGCATGTACCGAGTGGCAGGGTTAAACGTTTGTCAGCTCAGGTGGCCATCTTCCACCTGCGGGAAATTGCCAATCAGGAGCTGCTAAAGGAGTGGCCCAAGAGGAAGGTGCAGCGAGACCTGGTTCCTGATGACAGGAAGGTACTCCAGAAGGTTTTATCATGACTGTTATTTCCTATGGAAGTGGGGTTAAAGTTTGCATTCAGAACCAGGTTAAATCTCACATTCGTGTTGTACTGGTGTGCAGCTCATGGTTAAGTGACTTGCACAAAAAAATAAATCTTCACTTGAGCATAATGACCTCTAGGCCTGTGTCCGGTAATGATTAATTGATTTACCAGGATAACAGCCTTCAGTGATGATAACTCATTTAACACCAGACAGCAGTATTCTCACACCTACACGTAACTAAACATTGAGTGATGTAATGTGATATCTTACCTTTATACCACATTCATTGTACTTGACATACAACCCCATTTCCAAAAAAGTTGGGACGCTGTGCAGAATGTAAATAAAAATAGAATTGAATGATATGTAAATCATGTAAACCATATTTTTAAAGGAAAATACTACAAAGACAACATATCAAATGTTGAAACTGAGAAATGTTATTTGTTTTTTTAAAAATATATGTCCACTTTGAATTTGATGCCAACAACACATTCCAAAAAAGTTGGGACAGGGGCCTGTTCACCACTGTGTTTTATCAGCTCTTCTTTTAACAACACTCTGTAAGCGTTTGGGAACTGAGGAGACACTGCTGTAGTTCTGAAAGTGAAATGTTTTTCCGTTCTTGTTTGATCTATAATTTCAGCTGCTCCACAGTTCAGTGTCTCCTTTGTCGTGTTTTTCATTTCATAATGCACCAAATGTTATCAGTGGTGACAGGTCTGGACTGTAGGCAGGTCAGTTTAGCACCCAGACTCTTTTAATATGGAGCAATGCTGTTGTAATGCATGCAGAATGTGGTTTTACATTGTCTTGCTGAAATAATCCAGGCCTTCCCTGAAAAAGACGTTGTCTGGATGGCAGCATGTGTTGCCAAAACATGTATATATCGTTCAGCATTAATGGTGCCTTCACAGATGTGCACGTCACCCATGCCATGTGCACTAATGCCCCCCTACACCATCACAAATACTGGCTTTTGAACTGTGCACTGATAACAAGCTGAGTGGTCTTTATCCCGGAGGACACAGTTTTCATGATTTCTTAAGAGAATTTAAAATGTTGATTTGTCGGATCACAGGACACTTTTCCACTTCCCCTCAGTCCATTTTAAATGAGCTCAGGCCCAGAGAAGGTGGCAGCATTTCTGGATCCTGTTTATATTTGGTTTCTTCTTTGCGTTTTTAACGCGTAGAGTTTTATCTTGCATTTGTGGATGCAGTGATGAACTGTTTTCACAGACAGTGGTTTTCAGAAGTGTTTCTGAGCCCATGCAGTGATTTCCACTACAGAATCATGTCTGTTTTTAATGCAGAGCTGCCTGAAGGCCCAAAGATCACGGCCAGCAAATACTGGTTTTTGTCCCTTACATACAGAGATTTCTCCAGATTCTCTCAATCTTTTAATGATATTATGTACTGTAGCAAAAGTTCTTTGCTATTTTATGTTGAGAAACTTTATTCTTGAATCGATGCACTATTTGATTGTGCAGTCTTTCATAGAGTGGACTGTTTGGCCAAAATATCCATCTTTTCTGGCTTGAGCCTTGATCCCTGAATATAGTGTGCAAGACTTGCAGTAAGTTGTCTTTGTGATGTCACAACACATGGAGGTTTGGTCCATCTTATCTACAGGCAGTTCATAAGCTCTGTGTTATTAGGGTAAATTTCGATTTTGATAATGTAGGCTTAAATTAAAAAAAAATTGCAGCTCTTGCGATTTGAAAATTGCGATTTCGATATAAAAATGATTAATCTTTCAGCCTTACTCACACCACAGTGTTATGTCTCAGACTGGGAAACAACACACGAGTAAAAACTTCACACTCACATTCATCAGGCAATACAGGTCATTTTGGTCATTCTGTTTTAGTTGATGGGGTGAAGCCTTAATGTTGATTCACTATTTTATTTTTGTGTCATAGCTGCGGTATTCCCGTCCCGGATTACCTGCCTTCAGCCAGGAAGTCTTGCGAAAGTGGAAGAATGAGGTGAAACTGCAAAGAAAAGTGCAGTGTCCCAACAAGGTCGGAACCTCTTGTCATATCTTAAGTAATTATACTGTTTGAATCATTGGTTTTGTAACTAACTAAATTTGGTTTATTGCTCTGTGTATAGGGTTGTGGTTGCTATTATACAAGTGTGTCGGGGCTGAAGGCTCACCTTGGGCTCTGCACGCTGGTAAGGAAAGACTTTTTTTTCTGTAATAAAAGTCCATATTTTTCAGTAAATATAGGCCCTGTTCCATTTCACCCCTAACACTTAGCCCTTACCCCTCTGTTTTGTGCGTTCATGTCCAGGGGTAGGGTGTCCCGATTCTTGTTAAGATAGGGGACGAGGGCGAAGTGTTAGGGCTACATGGTTCTCCAAATGGAGTGTTATGAGAAAAAAAAGAAAAAAAAACAGCAAGATGGAGCACGAGCGACCAAAGAAACCCACAAATGTGAGAATTTTCTTTTATTATCTTAGTTCAGTGTACTTTCAGTGTATTATGGTCCTTTTTCTTTAGAACAAGCACAAAAAATCACTTGTAGTGCTGATGTCTCAGTAGCTTGCTAGTTAAACTTCTTATTCCACCTTAAATGGTGCAGCAGTTACATTCTGGTACCTCAGGCATCAGAACTGTTGCTCCATTTAAGGTGGAACGGAAAAATTCTAACAAGAAGCTGGCGAATATCTGACTTCAGCTTCATATCATTGAAGAATTAGGGGTGGGTGATAAATAATTGCCCCCCCTTTGAAGGCATATGATGCCCTAAGGCCCAGTCCCATTTCTTCTTTTTACCCCTACCCCTTGTTTTCAAGTGTCACCCTAACCCCTTACAAAGGGTAGTGGTTGAAATCTTACCCTATGAAATGGGACCCTCAAATACAACCATCACTTCATTAACAGCTACCAGCGCTGCTCTGTAGGCGACCCTGCCAGTCTGCAGTGACAGCAGAGGAGGGTAAAGTTCAGCTCCTCACTGCTGGGCTTTAGTTACATTTAGGGAATCATATGATCTTCAAAGAGGGGGGCAATTATTTATTATCACCCACCCCTAATTCTTCAGTGATATGAAGCTGAAGTCAGATATTCACCAGTTTCTCATTCAAATTTTCTCGTTCCACCTTAAATGGTGCACCAGTTACATTCTGGTGCTTCAGGCGTCAAAACTGCTGGACTATTTAAAGTGGAACAGGAAAGTTAGCTAGCTAGCTACCAAGACATTAGCACAGTTAGCTATTTATTATGCTTGTTATGAAGAAAAGGACCATAATACACTGAAACGACATTAAACTAAGATAAAACAGTGGTTATCATAATTTTTTAACGGAGAAAATTCTCACATTTGTGTGTTTCTTTGGTCTCTTGTTCTCCATCTTGCCGGTTTTTCTGTTTTTTCTCATAACTCTCTGTTTGGAGTGTCTGAAAAACCTCCGTTTGGAGGGTCATGTAGCCCCAACACTTCACCCTACACCTCTATCTCAAAAAGAATCGGGACACCCTACCCCTGAACGTGAACGTGCAAAACAGAGGTCTAAGGGCTAAGTGGTAGGGGCGAGGGGTGAAATGGGTTGGGGCTAAATGTAACTAAAGCCCAGCAGTGAGGAGCTGAACTGTACCCTCCTCTGCTGTCACTGTAGCTGTTAATGAAGTGATGTTCTTCTTTGTTATAGGGTTGTCCAGTTCTGTAGGGTAAGATTTCACCCACTACCCCTTACTCAGTTCCAAGGTGCAAGGTGACACTTGAAAAGGTGGTAGGGGTAGAAGATCTCTTATTGAGGATTATTTTTCAGTAAGACCCTCTTAGATAGATTACTTAGATAGTACTTTTTATTAAATCCGTAAAAGTTTGAAGCACTGTGGCACATACACCAGTTGGATTTGTGCACTTGGCTAAGGGGGTTGTGCCCCATCACCGAGAGCACATTTGATTCTTGATGAATCCACAGCCACCCGTATCCGAGAGTTAAAGAGAATAGAATTGGCCATGTTTCCGTTAGATGACTTGGTTCTTATTACCTTGTTTCAGAACAGTGATGGCTAATTGCTGTTCTGCATGCACATCCTACACTGTGCACAGTATTGAAAAGGTGTTGTGGCTGTTTGCATGTGTTGTGGAGGAAGCACACATTTATTTTAATTAATGAGCATGTTAACCTGCACCAAATAATCAGATTTCTGCAGTTGTACAAATGGTCATGTAAACAGCTCACTCTGATTTCTTAGAAGTCCAATAAAGAGGCTGGATTTTAGCTCAGTAGTCAGTTTTCTCAGTGCGTGTAAACTCTTACTCTGATTTCTTTCATATTTCTCAGCCTGAACATGTGCGAAAACAGACTGCACTACCGGAAATAAGCGAGCAGCCAAGGACCACTAGTGGGCCGGGAAGCACCCTCAGGGGGAGGCAGTAGTTCGTGCTGTGCCAGTAACGTCACTTTAAGTCATTCAAACATAAGTGGAAAAATGATTTAAATTGATTTAAATTATTGACTTAAAAATCTAAGAATCAAATATTTTTCAATTATAACCAATAATAAAGACGTGCAAATAAAAACAGTAGCAGACTTAATTAAACGTAATAAAACGTCATCCGTTTGAGACAGAGCAGCTGCGGGCGTGTGCCAGAGTTCCTCAGGGTTCTTTCTCCTACCTTGTTTGGTGAGAACCTGTTATACCTTTTCTTTAGTTTGCTTCGCCATACAGTCAGCATAATCTGTCTTGACTCTTTATAGACGCTCATTTTCTTTCATGTCGTTCCTGCAGCTCGAGCTGCAGCTGTTAAAGACAGCAGACGTACCTTAAAATAATAGCGAAGATTCACGTTTGATTTCGGCTCATTGCGAGCATCAGCCACACGAGTGGTAAAACTCAAATTGATAAGTCAATGACAGAAGCAGATATCAGTGAGGTTTATTGTTACTGATGATTGTGATGACGCTAATCCAAAAGCCCAGTGAGTGAAGTGAGGTTCCTGAGACCAAACAGTTACTCTCGTGGAGTATTTTCAGTGAAAACACAGTGGACTGCAGCTCCAAATCATAGTCCACATCTACCTTGTACATTTCAGCTCCCTCCCTCTTTTTTGTAACTGCAACCATGGTTTTATTTATTTATGTATTTATTTATAATATTAATATATATTCTTTACATGTTATGTTTTCTAATATAACTGTAATTTTGGTTTCTGTGAATGTTTTGATATTTTCAGGCCTTAAATCTCAGGTTTTCAGTATCAGCACTTAAGAAAAGAAAAACAAAATTGCATTTGAAAAAGTTTATTTTTTAGGTAAACTGGCTCTGTGTTTTTGGAAAAGAAAAGCCACGGCGTGAAGTTTGAGTTTTTTACGTTGTGTTGAGTTTTCCCATTATCTGATTACTCAGGTGCATGTAAATGGGTTGATCGGATTACTGCTAAAGTCTGATTTTCTGCAGTTATCTGATTATTAAGTGCATGTAAACGCACTTGGTGGCCTAGATGCTGTAACTGATCCTAGATCATAACTCTGACCCAGTACTATGACCCATTCTTGCGCAGCATAACATTGTTAATACAAGCCTCTATATAAAGAGCAGGACCTCATTTGATTCACATTTAAAGTTACCTTGGAAGTGTCTCTAAATAAAGGTGCTTTTAAAATGGACAAATATTGATTTCACGTGTTTGTTGATATTTTTTTCTTGATTAGTCTTGGCTGTATGTTACTCACCTGGGCTGAACGTGTGTCTTTGCAGGGGGACTTTCACACTGGGAAGTATAAATGCCTGATATGTAAGAAAGAATTCAACTCGGAGAGCGGCGTGAAATACCACATCAACTCTGTTCATTCCCAGGTAAAAGACACATCACTGTTGGAGAATCTCCAAGATGGGGATTGGATATCAACCATTCTAATTAGGAATCGGTTGGTTCGATTTTACTGAAACTGAATTATTTTTTGCATTCTGAATACCCATTTTTAATATTCTGATGTATTCACGTTAGTTTTTCTTTTTTACATTAGTTGCGACACAAGAATATCATACATGGTTCCAGTGGCATCCTGATTGTGTGCTTCATGTGCACCAATGCTGCTGGTTGTGTTCAAATTATTTTGAGTTGCTGTTAATTTCGCCAGTTTTTGATGACTGAATTAAAATCACTTAAAGCCGTAACTTTTGTACCTTGGTATAAATAAGAGATGGGAGTGGCTACTCAATGCACGTCTTACAACTACGTTTCATTTAGCCATTGTTTCATTCCTCTTACCAGCTGTCCTGCTGGCTTAAGCTGGGTCTACATGACATGATTTATTGCCTGATTTTAACCCTGATTTGACCCTTGAGACAAATATACACAGTCTCAACAATCTGAGGAAAATCTCCGTTTACATGCTCACTACAAGTAATCAGATCCCAAATGACGTGCATGCATAGAGAACCGCTTAGTGTAGACATTACCATGACAACCAGCATCACGTGAGTCCAGACAGAGTGAGATGAGCAGCAGTGAGCAGCGCTTGTGTTTTTAATTCCTTTAAAATGATGTCAGACCCAGGAAAACGTCCTTCACATGTCCTTATTAAAGAAGGCCGAGAGGAAGACGTCGTGTTCTGAGACACATAAGCTGGACGTCCGTCCCACCGCCGTCTTTTAAAGATCAGAGCATAAACTTCGTCTCCTCTGCAGACCAGTTTCTGCTCCGCCATGTTGAACGGTATAAATTCTCACTATGACGTGACGAACATGGTCAGAACGGACTTAAACTTTCTGATAGGGAATGTAATCAGATACAGGCGTTTACACGGATATTATTCTTCTGTTTAACGGATTATTTACAGGATTACCCACCTCGTTCGATCAGATAGGAATTATATTCCGAATGTCCTCAATAGAACTTGTCCATTCTGATTGAGGTGTTTACATGGACGTATTCTATTTTGATTGAGCTATTAGTCGGATTATTAATGGATTACTGGGCTGCATGTAAACGTGGCTAATGGTAAAATTTCAGATGGCAAATTTCAAGCAATGCCCACCCTGTTTCTCAGTAGTGCACATGATGCAGTGAGATGGCTCAGACCTTTCCGTATGTCTTATTTCGAAGCTGTCCATGTTTGACCAATATTGCAGCCACTGACAACAATTTAAATCTTTTTCTGTGGCCAGGACTGGTTTGTGGTCAGCACTAAGACCAAGACAAAGACCAAAGCCAAGGCCAAGGCCTCCACCTCCGACAGGCGGCTGAAGCCCAAGCCCAAGCCCAAGTTCCACAGCAGGGAGGTCTCCTGCATTCCCATGCCAAACCCGGCCCTCCGTTTCCCCCAAGGACCCTGCACCTGGCAGGACACCCAAGCCCCAGCAGAGGCCATGTCCAGCGAGATGGTGCTCCCAGAAACGTCGCAAGGAAGGAGGAAGGAAGAAAGGCAGTGCAGGAAAAGCAAGAGGAATACCCAGGATAAACAATGCTATGAGTACTGCGCCAGCGAAGGCCACAGCAGCAGCAGCGGAAGCGGAAGCTCCAGCAGTGAGTCAGAAGCAGAGGATGCGGAAGCTTCCAGTCATGATGTCTGGACTCTGAAAAAGCCCCTCACTCAGCCAGAGTGAGCCTGAAGCCGCTGGGCTTCTCACAATAAGAAGTGTTTCTCTTCGGTCAACTTTGAGGAAAAGTGCTGGAGAGTGTACAGTGTTGTGTGTGTGTGTGTGTGAGTGAGTGTGTGTGAGACCTTTTAAAGTACTACAGTGCCTGTTGTGTCATGAGGGTGATTTCACATATGAAATTGGCTGGTCGGCAAGATTCACATTCCAAACACTATCTTATTTTAATTTGTATGTGGGGCGCAAAATGGCACTTTTCTAATCATCTAAACCTGTCGATCCACAGTGCATGGAACTCACTGAGCCTGAACCACGAGCCTGACGATTACAAAGAACTGTTCTGACTACCGTTCAGAGGACGGTGTATTTTCTACATTTTTAGGGTCCACAACTTGAAACGTTAGCTGCGTTCCAAAAGCTAGCCTGCAGCTGAGAACGGTGCAAAACAGAACGGTCTACCAAGGCCACTTTGTGGCAGCAACAGAAAGGAGTCAGTACACGGAATATGGTGGAGAAATACTGCTGGTGTGAGCGATGATGTGATGGATAATGTGGCCGTCAAACAATTTAGTTTCTAAATTAAATGTGGTCCAGAGGCCGTCTTACAGAAACATCTTAAGTCTGAAATCTTATCTACTTAGTCACCATGACAACTTGAGTTAGGACTGAATTTAGGACAGAAGGTAATACAGAACAACAGTTCTTAAGTTTATAATCTCATCATTAACTCCAGATAAGAAAACAGCATCACATAAACATCCTAACTATACTAAACCTCCTAAATACTGTCCTGACTTTATGAACCCCAGAGCTGTTTTTACTTCTGTTTTAACCATCTGTTTCTATTGTGTTCAGTTTCAGGCAGCACAGTTCACTATAACCAGCATAATGACGCTGCATTTATCTACACTGAAAACTGAGCTTGAGTGACTTAGAGTTTTTTTTTCCAACAGCATTTTAAAATCTCAGACGCTGCAGACTCGATCTCCACTGTCCCTCTTATTACCTTCGTGTGTTAATGTTGATGATGAAATATTACAGTGATGAGGAGTAACGCTAGCACGCTCGGCTAAAGCTTTTGGGAAATGGAGACAAACTGGGGAGCGGTGACGCTCTGATGAACAGCAGGGGGCGCTCTAACAATATTCTTCACTCTCAGTTTATCATGCTTTAGTTTTATTAGACCTTTTGTATATCAGTAACGGTAGCTAGTGTTAGCTGTCTGACTAACTACCTTGATTACTTTGATGACGTGTTTACGTTTCAGCTGTGCGCGCCTGCTTGCTAGGTAACAGACACGACAGTTGATTGTCGACTTCAGTCGAGAAAGTTAAGATTTCTTAACTTGAGATAAGATGCTGTAAGATAAGATTCCTAAATTAAGATTCTTTAATACAAATTTGTGAAAAATCTTATCTTGATCTGTCAGATCTCAATTTAAGACAAAAAGATAGGAAGTTTCTGTAATACGACCCCTGGAAGCTAAAACCTCTTGAACTCGCTGAAAGCAGCTGCATCTCACCCGCTGCAGTCAGTTTACACCTTTTTTAAAGAGATACACAAAGCAATAACGTCCTGTATATTTTACTGGCCTTTTTAAATAATCTGCTGTGCATTTTTCTTGAACTTTCTCCAGGTCAGGCATAGTGCTGGGCGATATGACCTCAAATCAGTATCACAATTAATTGAATATTTTACCTCGATTACGATTAATGAATGATTATTTAGATTTTTTTTTTTACCCTCATAGTTCACTGACAAGGTTTGTACTGTAAATATGTTCTGCATATCTTAATGTAAATCGTCTCAACAGCCAGATCAGAATTCATGTGGCTTTTACGTCAATCCAACTGAACATTCGTCATAATTTAGCGCTGCTGAGACTCAAACATTTGGGCTGATATTTCCGTACAAAAATTAGAAGAGACTCATCCAAAACCCTCCGTGTTTGAAGAGATTTCTAATGAAATGTCTGAACGCGGCCGCAGGAGAACGAGGCTGCAGCGTCAAAGAACAGTTAAAAGTCTGAAAGCAGAGTTTAAAGAATCCGAGGACGCGAACCAAAGAAGTGGCCGCGCCCTTTTTACGGCTGGAACACATTCTGGGTGATGAGCCCAGCTGTCAGTCAGTGAAGCTTCATGATGGCTCCTGTGATGCTGGTGAAGATGAAGCTGATCCTCCGGGAGCGACTGGCGTTCGTTGGCGGTCGTGATTGTTTACCTCTGGATGAGCCGTGAAGCAGCGTGACGCTCTGATCTTTTGAGCATGCGGCTCAGTTTAGGAGCTGATCTGTTCAGACTGATGATACAGATCACATTTAAAGATAATCTGAACAGACAAACAAAAAAAAAAATTGGTGTGAAAATCAGATTTGGGCCACTTTTACCTGCTGTGTGAACGTAGCCTTGGCTTCCATGTGGCAGACTGGACATGGTGGAGTCACGTGATACACGAGCGGTACTAAGTTTTAAGAGGATGGTACATGAACACACAGTGAAGAAAGGATTATCAGAATTTTTTTAAAAAATCTAAATAACCAACATGGGCAAGATTACGTCGTTTAGAGGTTTTGAATGTCGGTTTTGATTACTTTTTCGATTAATCGTCCAGCCCTAGTCAGGCATGTGCATGAAGAATACTCTGGAAGTGTCCTTGAAAATGGGCAGAATGTGGGCTGTATTTGAAGAATCTTTCCGATTGGAACAGCCAACACACACAGGCCATCTAGGCTACAGCTTAGCTGTTGGAACGCAGCTCATGTTAAATGTCCATATGTGAAAGCACCCTTAGTTTGGGGCGGTTTTGCGATCGTGTGAGAGTTTTTGTGACGGATAGTTCATTAGAGTAGTGGCATTTGTAGAAAGACTTCCAAATGTCCATGTCCAAAAAAACAAAACAAAAAAAGCGACATAGTTCAGTGACACAGCTTCACAGGTTTGCTCACAATAAACAAGCATACGTGTTTCTCAAAAACAGTACAGTTCTAAATGCTTAGCTGAGCATTTTGTTGTATTATTCGTAGACTTTGCCTCTTGCGCTGCTCCTCAAGCTCCAGAACGGATCCAGAGCTTTATAGTTTGCTGCTGCTGCTGTTTTCACTTCTGTTTCATGCCTTATCGTCCTGTGTAACCTACTGCATGTAATGTTGTCCATGTATATAGCAGTGCTTCGTGACTTTGTCAGATTAGGGGTGTGAGGTGACGCAGGCCGAAAACTTCTTGTGATTATCGGTTTTCGTATCCGTGGTGTTTTCCGACTGCGTTAGCTTTAGAGTACGCTGTTACAGCACCTTTATGAAGGGTTGTTCTTGCAGATGTTTCTTTGAGAGGACTGGAGAGGAGCTGAATGAAGGAAAGACTTTTTATAGTTGTCCGAAACTATCACTGTTAAAGATAGTTACTGATTTACGTTCATATCTACGGCTTTAGTAAATACACCGATCAGGCATAACGTTATGACCACCTCCTTGTTTCTACGCTCATTGTCCATTTATTTTTAAACACCTCAGTGTCGCTGCTGGACTGAAAAATATCCAAAAATATCCAGCCAACAGCGTCCTGTGGGCAGTGTCCTGTGACCACTGATGAAGGACTAGAGGATGACCAACACAAACTGTGCAGCAGCAGATGAGCTATCCTCTCTGACTTTACATCTACAAGGTGGACTGACAATGTAGGAGTGTCTAATAGAGTGGACACAGTGTTTAAAACTAGTGAGTGGACACAGTGTTTAAAACTCCAGCAGCACTGCTGTGTCTGATCCATTCACACCAGCGCAACACACACTAACACACCACCACCATGTCTGTCACTGCAGTGCTGAGAATGACCCACCACCCAAATAGTACCTGCTCTGTGAGGGGCCATGGGGGTCCTGACCACTGAAGAACAGGGTAAAAGGGGGCAAACAAAGTATCAGAGAAACAGATGGACTACAGTCTGTAACTGTAGAACTACAAAGTGCACCTATATAGTAAGTGGAGCTGATAAAATGGACAATGAGCGTAGAAACAAGGAGGTGGTCAGAATGTTATGCCTGACCGGTGTATAATAGAGCTCAAATACTGTCCAAAAGAACTTTTTTCACATGTTGGTTCTGGTTTTTACTGCAGTTTCTAACATTAGACATTAACTGTGAAATGTCAGTGTACACTTTACACTTTTTGAAAGGATTTTATTAACATGACCAAACTTTAAAGGAGTGAAAGGAGGCGTGTGTGTATATAACCATTAAATTAACTGTATAGAAAGCATCTCATTTGAATATAGGATCCTCAAGACGTGCTGTTCCATTACACCGTCGAACACTGATCATTTCACCGTTCTGTGACTGTAGAAGTGAAATTGCATGAGAGGATCCACCGAGATCAAACGTCAGAAATGTATCAGTAGTTTTAGGCTGCCTTAAGATGGTGAACATTCTGTTCTTAGATTCCATCCAAATCCAGTGAGCAAATATTCGGAGAGGAAGAGGAACTTGATGCATTCGTCAGCTTTGATATGGTGGTAGCAGTACTTGTGTTCTGCATTTGTTGTCCTTTTACTTATGAAATGTTCAGCCAAACTTTTTGCAATACATTTCAATATGTCAAGTAAATACATTTGTTTATGTACCAGCATGTCTCTCATTCTTTGTGCTGTGTTTGGGTCAAAATATAGAACACGTTCTCCAGTAAGTGGTAGCTGTAGAACCTGCTGGCTGAGAGCTGGTTATGAATGTTTTGTCTGATTTCTGAGACTTTGTTTTATGATCGTTTGAGAGACAGTTTTGACCTAAAACGTTTCTTTTTTTTTTAACATCATTCATGGTGGAGAGGTAACCTACATGCAGGGTGTTGAGGCATTTTTTCCTTTGCACTTTTCATGCTGGTGGCAGTTCAAAGTACTTTACAGACAGGTGATAAAGTTTAACAGTAATACAAGAAATTATAAGTATTAAATTAGAATAATATAAGAAAAAGGCACAGATCAAATTAAAGGATAATTTTAATGAAGCTCTGAGTTAAAGAGCTGCGTTTTCAGGTGTTTATTAAAAGTGAGCTCTGAGCTCGACTGTCTAATAAAAGCTGAACTGAGCTCCACAGTTTAGAAGCAGAATAACTGAAAGAGTCTCTCCACGTTTTCTGTGTTTTACTGAAGGTGTCTGTAGGTCAGTATCTGCAGATCTAAGATCATAAACAGACACTCTGTGATGTAGGCGGAGCTTTAAGGTCATTTAGCGCTTTAAAAACTAGTAGCAGAGCTTTAAACTCTATACTGAACGATTCAGACAGTCAGTGCAGCTCTTTTAAAGCAGGACTGATCTGATCTCTCTGTGTTGTTTTTGTTAGGATGCTGCTGTATTTTGTACGAGTTGTAAGAGATGCATTGTGTTCTTTGGAAGAGTAAGAAAGATCAGTAAGAAGATCATTACAGTGATCAACTCTGCTGGAACAAACGCATGAACTAGTTTCTCTGCGTCGCTCTGAGAGAGAAAAGGCTGAACTTTAGTGATTTCCTCACATGATAAAAAGCTGCTTTAGTGACTTTGTTTACATGCAGATAAAACAGAGCTCAGAGTCTCAGATCACACCCAGGTTTCATACTTCAGGTTTGGTTTATGAAGCTAAAGAACCAAGTTTCTCATAAATCAGCTTTCTCTGAGTTTCTGTACCAACAATCAGTATTTCAGTTTTTTCATGATTTAAGTTGAGTCAAGTCAAAGTTTATTTATATGGCGCTTTTTACAACAGGTGTTGTCACAAAGCAGCTTTACCAATGGCGACAGTGGCACGGAAAAACTCCCTAAGAGCAAAGAGGAAGAAACACTGAGAGGAACCAAGACTCAAAAGGGGAACTCATCCTCCTCCGGACCACAGCGGATAGCAAACAGCGTTAGTATAAAATATTAGAATACAAAACGGGAAAAACAGGCGGAGCAGTTCATGATTTAATTGTAGAAAATTGTGCGACGTCCACTGAGAAATATCTGACACAGCTGGTCAGTCTGTCTTGATCATCAGAAGGAACAGAAATGTATAACTGGGTGTCGTCAGCACAGCTATGAATTTATATTATGCTTCCTAATGACATCACCTAGAGGTAGCATGTACAAAGAGAAAAGCAAAGGCCCTAAGACTGAACCTTGGAGGACTCCACAAGAAATGCCAAATCTTTTAGATGAATGATTTCCAAGTGAAACCATGAACTGCCTATTACTTAAATATGATTTAAACCATTCTAAAACTGAGCCCGAGAGGCTGACCCTGTATTCAAAAACGCTGGATTAAAATTTTGTTTTCAACAGTATCAAAAGCTGCACTAAGATAAAACCAGAATAGAAGGATTTTGTGCAACGGCGCTGAACCTGAGGTCATTCACAACACAAACCAGTGCTGTCTCTGTACTGTGGTTAGAGCACTAGGTTATCTAACACTCTTTAAAAAGATGATTCTTCAAGGGTTCTTTAGTAAAGACAATGGTTCTTTGTAAAACCATGAACACTCAAAGAGTGAAATGGTTCTTTTAATGGAGAATGTGTTGTGGGTCTAGATTTATATTTATATAGAACCTTTTTCAAAATAGTTCTACCCATATGGAAAAAAAAATCCAAATGTATTTCTCAAATATAATTTTTGCAATTATACGAAAATAGCCAAAAATGTATTAGTTAAATACATGTTTAAAATACATTTATTTGTATTTGTTATATTTTTTTAAATGTGTGTAGTTTTAACAAAGGCTACAGATAGAACTGAAGGGTACTGACTTCTGTGTTTTGCTTTGTATTTTGCATTAACCATAAAATATCAAATCATCAAACTTCATTTTCACAATCTGTCAGTACACAC